TCGATCGGCGAGTTCATTAGGGGCGTGCACAATTTGTTAATAATTTATGCGTAAAATGTGAAAGAGGAGAGAAACGAACACCGAAATCGCCAACCAAGTCAAAACTAGAAGTATGCCCGCCAGCACTTTGCGGCTTGTTACATTTGAAATGATATTTAATAATGCGCCGATATGGAATGTCTCGAAACAATTGGGGAAAGAGCACAGCTATCGAATTATATATGTCACTCTAAATATTTATAATCAATTCGAGCGATTACATAACCAACCCCAGGCTTGGGCAACACACACTTGTATTGGGGAGTGGACCCAAAAGAAATGTTCAAAATTCAAAATAAAAAAACACTGAAAACTTTTGCAAACATTTCAAATTTATTACAGAGTGGTGGAGAGCGACAAGTTGTCACATTTATGGTCTACCAGTTTTATTTTCTTTTGTCCGGCCATCTTTCTCAAGGTCAATCAAGGCAGCCATAACAACAACAACAACATCAGCCTTAGTTGCGCTCGGTGTGTAACAAAGTGTGGCAAGTGAGACACATGCTAATTAAGTCAGTTGCGCTAATTTTGATGTGTGGCTGCCCGGCTTACTTTTCACTATTGTTGTTGCTTTTCTAGTTTCTTTTGCCTTCTTGCTTTTGCTTATGCATTAGCTTTAGTTTTAGTTTTATTTCTTTTTTTTAGTGCAGCCCATTTGCATTTTAACTGCCTTATTAGTGGCGCGTACGGGTTTGCTTACAAAAATATGCACAACACTTTTATTTCCTCAACATTTTTGCAGCTATCCAAAAATATGTTCAATAATTATAGGCTGTGATATATTTGGAAATATTTTGGTGGCTGGGAACTTCCCTGCTAGCCAATGCTGGACAATAATGAAGAAGCTGCTCCTCCTCTTGTTCAACTCTAGAGATTCAGCAGAAATCGATAGATGAATTGTAAAAACTTTAAACCTTTAGGGAACCTGCTTACAAATAAATAAAATCTTTTACTAATGAAATAAAAACATGAACACATGAAGAATATTCAACTTCCTGTATAAAACGAGAAACTTATAGCTGCTTGGTGTGTTAAAAGGCTATTAAATGCCTACATTCAAAGACCATCATCCTCAATGGGTTAAGGTCCCTTGCACAAGCGGTGGCTCGACTTGATTTGTGGCACTTGCATTGCGTGCAGCTGAGGCGAAAGGGCCCACAACCTTCAGCAGACACTCACAATGCAACAAACACTCTGACGGCCCACGTGCTGCCTACTTGAGAGATCGAGCATATGAGTGTCAATCTGGCTGGCTGGCTGGAAGCTGAGTTCAGACTCATCTGTTAGCAGCATAAAAAGGGTTAAGACATAACCATCAGTCAACGGTTGCTTGTCTGTCTATCTCTTCGAGTTGGCGTCTATTTTGTTCGATGCCAGTGACCTTTGCTTTACCTTTTGATTTATAATTTGAGGTGTGAGCGTATTTGTGTTTTTGTTTCTGTTTCTGCGCGCACCGTTTTATGAAAATTACACGTTTTTAGCATTGAGATCAATATCAGTGGGGATTCCGCCACAAACCTCAACACTCTCGTCTAATAATCAACAACAAAAATTGTAAAATGTAATGCACGATTTGTGTTGAAATATAAGCAGTATGCTGAGGCATATACGAGTATATTTATACTTAAAAGTTGGCTGTCTAAACAATAACAGTTAGGAAATAACGTTTTCTGCGCTGCCCCACCATTTAAGGGAGTGGGGGGAGTGGAGGGGACCACAACATTCTATTCAAATTCAAATTTAGCTTCGACAAGTTGTGAGTCAGTCAGTCAGTTACTCAGTTAGTCGGGCAGTCAGGCAACGGCTTCCTCCCGATATGGGTCAAAAGCTACAGGTTTTTCGCTGCAAAAATGTGTTAATAATGTGTCTGTCTTTTCCCCCCCTTTTCTTAAATTATTTATGTATTTGCGTATATGAATTATTCAATAGTTTTTAATTTGCACAAATACAAAAACAATATGACAGATAAACAAGCGCCGCAAACGAATTCAAGTGGCATTTTTACGTATTAGCGCAAAATATTAACACACACAAACACAAACACATATTATGTATATCGGCGTATCGGCATATACAACGCATTATATTTTATTGGTTTTACACAATTCGCAACAGCAAACATATCGTTAAAATGAAAATTAAGTAGCTTTCATGCGATATTGTTTTTCATTATTTAATGCGCTCATTAAATGTTTAAAGCTTTTTACAACTCCTATTCAATTTGTTCAGTAAAGACTGTGCATAGGCAGACAAGTTGGTGTTTTGTTTAGAACATTTAACACACATATTGACGACTAAACATGTAATTTCGCACCACCTGCCATTTTACAGCAACAGCAACAGAATAAACAACAACAACAGCCAGTGACTTAAACAAGTTTGTTGCTTAAGTTTTTGTTAGTTAGTTGCTAAGCTCATGCTGTTTAATTTATGGTAAGTATTTCAAAACGCAATCGCACAATTCATAATTTAAAAATCAATTTTGAAATATTTATCTATTCTCGTTCTACATTTAGATGCTTTTGAGAACAAATTCTTGATGCTCACACGTAAGCTCTGAAATATTTTGGAGAATTTAAAAATGAATTGCTGATTAAATGAGGTCTATTTGTTAATTAGTTTGTACTTCATGTAGCCTATGTATTTGCACATTAAATTTGTTAATTAGATTAGGTCTGTTTGTGAAAGATGTGTCCTAGAACCTAATACAGCATCTGGCTAAGGTAAAACCTGGACTAGTTTATAATATTCAATCCTCATGTTCCTCATTCAACATGTATATTCTGGCTACAATTTCAAATAAAAAACTTAATATCAAATATTGCTTAATCTAAAGTTGTTGGAATAGTTTCTTAGAAACTAAACTTATGTAAATAATTTCCTCATTTAAATACAAATAAATAACACAAAACGTCCTAGTCTTAATACATTTGGAATATGGCTACTCGTTCAGACCTCTTATTAAACGTATTTAAGGTCATCATAAGATTTGGTCTTTCTTCCCAAATCCCAAATCTAAATTCCAATATAAACTGAAACTAGTTCTAAAAAAGGTTTTCTAAAAACGATTCAGTTTCTTTTTTTTAAAATGATTTACTTGAAAAAATTGCAGTTACTTTGAAATGTTTTTATGCCACTAACTAGGAATGATCCCACAGGTGTAGTTATTTTTGAAGCTTAATTAAGTTTTTAAATATGACAATTAATCAAAACAGATTTGGAAAAAGCGGCAAAATAAAAAACAACTCAATTATCACATTCTTTGTGCTTCAAGTTTTTTCTATTTGGGTTGAAACTCATGCAAATGACTTCGGCAGTCGATTGTGTCTTTGTAGTTTGATTGATTTGTGTTGAAACTTTTCATTTCCGAAAAAAACCTGAAATGCAAGATGTGGGAAAATATTGGGTTGCTCAGCTAGCGGCTACTCTAAGTGCAATTCGCTGTTATCGTTTCTACAGTACTGACTAGATATAATTGATTGCATTGTACAAAATGGATTGAAATGTTTTTTTTTTCATTTTCTGCTAAGTTAAACAATTAATCAATTCACAGCTTAAGCTGTAGGGTAAATAGTTGATATTTTTGAAGGGATTTTGGATAAGGTTGAAGTCTAATTTCTGCTTATAAGGGATAGTTATCTTTGATGAACAGCCAAAACAAACTGTATAAGTGGGGTGGACTGGAATGCAAAAAAAAAATCAAATATATTGCTTGAGAAATAGAATTCTGATATACCCGTATGTATCAGAATATATACGGTGTAGGTATTTTTTTAGTACAAACGAACAATTACACATACGAGTATAATTGGTGTTGTTGTATTTATCTTCAGAAATTTTAATCACCGTTGATTTTAGATGTCAAGTATAAAAAACAAATTTGTATAGAAAATAAATTTTAAAATTGAAAAAAAAGTAAAAAAAACAAGTAAAAAAGCTAAAGTCGGGTGTCCCGACTTTGAAATACTCTGTACATATGTTTACAATAATTATAGAAAATAAAAAAAAAAAAAAAAAGAAAAAAAAATTGGATCGATTTTACCTCTCTCGGTATTCGAACTCACGTAAAGGGTGTATAATTGCACATTTACATAGCAATTGCGTCTGTGTGAGTGTATGTATGCCTATGCGCATCAATTCGTGTCTGTGTAAGCATTTTCGCAGTCAACCAAACAGCAACATCAACAACAACCGCGGGCAGCGCTTGAGCAGCGCTGCAGCAGCAAATATATTTATGGCTATAACTTCTTGGTAAATCGGTCTATAACAGTGAAACTTGGCATACGGAAACATAATTACTAACTGGGGGTATTTGCAAAATTTTAGTTCGAAATTCCAAGAATTACGGGAGTTAGAGAAAATCGCATTTGCGGGGGAGAGGGGGGAGGGAGGGAAATTCCAAAATATACATTTTCTGCGTATTCACACAAGGCATCTTGGACTAAAATTTGGTGTGCCTAGGTCTTATAGTCTCCGAGATATAGGCGATTATACGAATGGAAAATCGGGAAAACCCCCATAGGGGGGAAGTGGGGGGGAAAATCAAAAAAATAAAACAAACTCGTATAGAATACACACATAACGCATCTTTGTGGAAAATTTGGTGTCTCTATCTCTTATAGTCTCTGAGATCCAGGTGTTCATACGGACGGACAGACGGACAGACGGACAGACGGACAGACGGACAGACAGACAGACAGGGCTAGATCGACTCGTCTTGTCACGCTGATCAATAATATATATACTTTGTGGGGTCTGCCACGCCTCCTTCTGCCTGTTACATTTTTCAGCTCCCGCAAACCTAATATACTCTTGTACATTTCATGTACAGAGTATAAAAATGTGAAAGTAAACATCCACCAAATGCGCGAATTGAATGCGACTAGAGCGCAAGAATATTCACAAAGTAGGCATGGAATAAAATTTGTACTATTTGTCACAAATTATATATTAGATATCTATCATTCTTCACAATAAGCTCAAGTAGAAAACATCTTGAAAAAAAATATTTAAAAACATTTTCCACATTTCTTCAATTTTACAAGCCACAGAAGTAAGTAGAACATTCTTGAAATGCGCCTTTTATGCATTTTTAAAAGATTTTGCAGTCATGCCTGGATTGGACAAACAGGAGAACTTATCAGCGGCCGCCCTGGGCGGTGGTGGGGACAGGGTAAAGGATATCCTGAGTCCACAGCCGCAAGCCTTTGGATCTGGCGCCTTCATGCCCGGGCCTTTGCCGTTTGCCTCATGCCGTAAGCCCCGCCCGGACCACAATTCGTTGCCGGTACGTCAGTATCTGGATCAGACCGTGGCGCCCCTGCTGCTGCATGGCTTGCAGGCCTTGGCACGCGAAAGACCTGCCGATCCAATTAGCTATCTGGCGACTTATTTGTTAAAGAATAAGAATCGCTGCGATGAAATAAATGCGGAAACCATTTAAAGAGGCTGAGGCCAATACACTGAGAACACGAACAACAACAACAACAACAATTATTTTTACAATGGGGATGTATTACAACACTCTGCTCACTGCTATTCGCTGATTTACACACACACAAACATATACATATGCACTATCTTTATAGCTGATTTTCAAATGTGTGTTTGCTTTCAAATTTTTATTATTGGAATAAAACTTGATATATATTTTGCTCAACTTACCATCCACATGCCGTTTAGCCACATTTTGAAATACATTTCAAAATATTTTCAATATTATTTTAGTAAGCGTTGCGTCCCAATTGCAGTTTAATATACAGCTCAAAAAATTGCGAAACACTTTTTAGATATTAAACTTTTAATTTATTTTTCAAATTTAATTTATTTTTAATAGCAGAAATTTGTTATTTTTAGCAACGCCTTCGTCTGCCGTTGCTGCCACCGACATCACCGACATTCAAGCGCGTCGAACCAAAAAACTGCAACGCCAACAACAATAATAATTTTGTGCAGATAATAGCCGATTTTTTTCTTTTCCAAATTAATTAGTTCCGCCGATTTTCGCAGTGCCGTGAAAATGATGCGCACACAGCACACACAAAATAGATAAACAAAACCCTATTGACGCGCAGCTTGCAATTTACAAGTAAACGATTTTCATTCATACATACGTATATATACGTATAGTAGTTTATTGCAATAGTTACGATCGATAGTTGATTTAATTTATTGAGTTTTAACTTTGCACTCTTTTGAATTTTCTTTGCACCGTTACGCAGTCCGAATCGCACGTCCGTCTTTGTCGCTGGCTCGCTTGCCACTAAAATCGCGACGCCTTTAGTTTACAGTTTAAAAACTTCAAATTCAAATCATCAACGGCAGCGGCAACGGCAACGGCAACGACGGCAGCGACTGTGACTGCGACTGCGACTGTGGCAGCTAAGCTTACAGCTTACAGCTGGGCTGTGGCTTCGTTTCGTTTCGTTTCAATTCGGTTCGTTAAGGTATCGGATTCCAAAGAGCAGCTGTGTAATGTTTGCGCGTCTCGCTCTTTGTTTTTTGTTTGCTTTTGTTGTTGTTTTTGAACAAATTGTTGCCAGAACTAATCTACTTTAAAGGCACTTTTGGCAACTAAGCGGCTTGTGGAATTGGGATTGGAACACCCACCCACCAACAATTGTCGCATGCCAAAAATTGAAATTGAAGATTAATTGTGTCTGTTAACTGAAAATGGTTGCCAGCTAAATAGGGGGAGGGGAGTGCCCACGATTACATCATAGAAAAGATAAAGAAGTCAAACAGTACATATAATTATAAATGTGTAATTACAAAAGTTAAATGCCAAAGTCTATATCATGCAAAAATATGAATGTTGAAAAAAATATACGCCGATTCCCCTCTTTATCGTTAAGATTTTAGCTCGGCTGATATGAACCACACATATATAGTGCATATATGTATGTGTAGTTCTAATCTTCTAATTAAAGTGAGGCATTTAAGTCCTCTGAGGCATATTAGTAATGATTAAATGTGATTAATAACCAATTATATGAGTTGGCCTTTAATTAATAGTTAGAAAGGTAAGGATTTGATATCAATAGGCATTAATATTAATATAACAAATATTATTATTACTAATAAAAACATGTTTCTGTATTAAATTAGAGTTCAGAGAAATTTATATTTCTCTCAAATAGAAACTTTAAAAGTTGAATGGAAATATTTTGAAAATTTCAATAAAAATCATGATGGAAAGTTTTTTTTTATTAAGATATTAAATATACTTGTACATATATTCAAAAACAATCTACAAGCTCATAAGTAGAGCAGGATTTCGGTTTACAGTTTTAATTCAAGATCGCAGGTTTGATCTTTACATTAAGAAAATCGGTAAATCGAATTTATAAGAGAAATAATTGTTTATCCCTTATTAGGAAAATTTAATTGAATATAAATTCGCTTATGATGAGAGGTGTTTTTTATTATTATTTTTTTATTTTGCTATAAAGTTAACTGCAGTTTGCTGAGAATATAGAAAATCTTCCACCACCTTATTGTGAAAATGTCAGGAGCTAAGTGAACTTCAGGAAACCATATATAGTTACTAAGGCATCGACTTCTGATTTATTCCTCCCAGAAGCCCACATTTCGGAGGACTCTCAATGTCACGGCCGGAGAAATGCTTATTGATAAGGAAACAACGCTGTAAAAGCAATAAGGAAGATCTCGTTCAATCTTATCTCACGCCACAATACTTCATCCTTGGTTTCGGTATAAAGAGCCAGCTATCAATCGAACCAGGCGTGGAAGACTATTCAAAAAAACTGAAGCATTCATTTTTGTACCGATATATGCGACTGAATGATGCAGCAAAGTCGGACAATGACCCGCCTGTATACCCAATTTTGTGGTCAGAAAGGATTTCTTTTATTTCCGTATATTTTCAATAATTTGAAGCAGTCGTGAATAGCTGTATTTACCCATATAATACTACTTATATTCATCCCTCTTTAATATTGATTCAAATTTGCAAGTGCAATCAATAAGTTAAAGATGTTCGTTCCCATACTTCTTAGTTCAACTTACGAGCTCTAATAACTTCAATGCCAACTCTTAAAATATGTAGTTTAGTTTAAATTCAACTCTTCAAGGCCAACAGCACAAGAACTAACACTCATAGCTGAGTGCTAAATAATACAATATCAAGAGCTCCAGCAATAATAAAATAGGCATAGAAAAATGCCAATCTATGGATACAACAATCAATAAAACGCAGAGAGTATTAGAAAAGTAAATAAATAATAAAAAATTATGTTGCCCACACCAGTTGTGCAAAAAGCCAAAATATCGCACCATAAAACTATGCGAGGCATATGCCTCGTATGTATTTATAAATCTGTTGGTGCTGGCTTGATTTAATTAAAAAATCAAAGTTGTAATTACAATATTTGTCGATGGCAAACAGATTTCGATATCAACTCGAGCTCGAGCCTCGCTAAGCCCCAAAGTGGAGTTGCGAATTGAACGTGCTTTGATATTTTTTTTGCTTTTTCTGTTTATTTTTTGGCGCCGCAGCATAAAAGCAGAGCGCTCGGTGTCATTGTTGTTGTTGTTGCTGCTGCTGCTGGCATAGGTGCGTGGGTGACTGACAGTCGTTTGTTGGGGTCTAATGGCCCGGCGCGGCGTCACAGACGCCGTCATTTCAAGGCCGCAAAGCTCCAATTGTCTGCGCAGGCGGAGGCTGTCGAACCTGTCGCCATCGGGTGCCGGCGCTATGCTATCAATGGAGTCCGCAATTAATGCACTTTGAATTGCTATATCGGTTGCGCCTATTTCCATTTTGTCAATGCTGTGTGGGTAACGCACAATGACGTCACTGTGTATCGCCCCAGGTCGTATATCAAAATAACAAATTTACAAAAACTTTTTCGCATTTTCATACATAAATCACACACTTAAGACATTGCTCACGAAGTTGTTCCATAAATTCAACTAAAACCTAGCTACCCAGCCGACCAACAAATTCAATTCACCAATAGTTTCCATCATAGACTCATTTCATATGCAGCGCACAGCTCGACGACCCACTGTGCGTTCGATTAAAGGTAAAACAAAACACGGAACAAATACAACAGCACACACGCTCGTAAATTTATGCGTTACATACAAAATTTAAATATTCCCCATGTATTGCACACACGCATGACGCATTCTGTCTAAAAATGTCACTCATTGTCAAATCTGACAAACCACCCTACCGCACCGTACCTCACAGCACCACCCACAACCACAACCACATCCACCCACCCGCACTGTACAGTGTGCCCAATCCAATATCTCGAAGAAGAAATGCTGCAAAAAATGTAAGCAATGATCAGCATCTCTCAAAACTGGGCCAACAATAATTAGAAAATTCCTAAACAGTCTGCGATCAACTTATTTGTACCTTAATGTCACGAAATTGGGTTAATCTTATTAGGAAATAAAATGCTTATAAATTAATCATGTAGTTTTGAGTTTCGATTTAGTCGCTGGTAAGCGCAATTAAGTAACTATCCCTGATGTTTTTGTATAAAAAATGTAGTCGATTAAATTGTGCAATCTTAATTAATTAGTTCTTCTGTGTGTAATAAAATTTTACAATCTGTCTGATTTATTGTTGTCAATATGGAGTTATGAGTACGATAAGAGATGGCTACAATAAAGTTTAATAATATCATATATATCATATCAGTAATAGCTTCTATAAAGGGAATACTAATTAAGGAATGGTAGACATTCTTAAGCTAAAATAATAAATGAAAAAAAAACTTTTTTAAATGACACACACAAGAATCTAAATATAATTTTTAAATAATATAACTATTTAATTTCTGTATATTTTCTATTAAATAATTTTTTCTTTTAAGATTTTAACATTTCTTGAAGCATTTGAAATCGATAAACAAACTTGCTTTTTGGTACTTCCTAATGTAAGTTTATGGCGCTAATTCCATTTAAAAATTCAAAATTTTCATTTTCATACTACTAAAGGGGGTTCTGTGTGAAGTAATGTTATTTAGTTCCAACAAACATAAAAGACGGTAACTATTTTAGCTTATTAATACACTTCCTTCAACTAATTAGTTTTTCTACGTGTATTTTATCCACTTAGTATGACAATTCAGCCCACTACTGGGGAATAGAAATGCTTGGAATTGGCGTCAACAATTGACAATCGCAAATTAAACTGATGGCAACGCGATTAGCAAAATTAATAACAATCGAATAGCAACAACAGCACTGACAGACTAAGTGGTAGTGTGCATTGTTATTAATAATAATAAATATGTATTGTATAATCTGCATGCGTACGTGCAATTATGACACGCACTGTACATACTTAAAAGTCCGTGCGAAATAGAGGAAATAAAAGCGCCTGCGGCCAAGTTGGTTCATTGTTACAACTACAAATATGTGCATACCTATGTATGTACATATGTACACATGTAAGTATGTAGATATTATATATAGGCATCTATGTAGCACTTGTGATGGACACTCGTGAATAACTCTTGAGTACTTCGAGTGGTAATGCGTGCTTTTTGTTTTCATTCATTCATCGGATTTTTGGCAAATTGTTGCATGCCCTCTAACAGTGTTAAGGCAAACGTGATTACGATTTTTATTTAGATGTGACACCTTTTGTTTTATGTAATTCACAGCCCCTACTCCAGCTTGTTGACTTTTTACACTTGGCCAGGTTTTATTTTCTATTTTCACAGCCACATGACCTCATGCGACATGGCTTGTCATCTAGAGAGCCGACTGTGAAAGTTTTCGGCTGAGACCCCCACGCAAAGCTGCGCTCCAATTTGGCCGAAAAAAGCAGCGCACAAAATATAAATAACAACAAACTGTTAATACAAATAACAAAAAAAAGAGACGCATGACCTACGCTAATAGTATAAAAGGCATAGAGCAAATAAAGAATAGCCAGGCAGCTACGAAAACATTTCGAATAACAATTTTTAACTAATTTTAGCCGTTGCGACATCGCCAAAAATCGCAACAACAAAAGTTCGCTGAACTGCACAAAACCCAAAAATCTATAATATATATGTAATAACAACAACAACAACAACAATAGCAACGCCCAGAGAAGACAAAGGCAAGCTTCATTAGTTCTGGCAACAGCAACCAGCGATCCATTGGATCTGGCCAAAAAGAAAGCATTCAACAAGCTCCAGCAGTTGGCACAAAAAAATGCACACAAATCAACGTTGGGGCAGGTGGAAGCATTCGATAAAGTTGGGGGAACAGAAAGACAGACAGAGAGAGAGAGAGAGAAAATTCCATCTATAAATTTCTAGCAAAAATAAATGGACTTTTTATAGACAGTGACAACAATTAATTATATATTAATATGCTTGCAATGCGCCATCGCCGCCAGCGTCTCGTTCTTGAGGCGTTTCAGCAACGAACCACCACCAGCACCAGAACCACCAACCACCAACAACCAGCAGCTTATTAGTTTATAGTGTCAACAACTAAAATTAATCCCGTCGAGGTGGCGACTTCATAAGGCCGAAAGAAAGGCCATTTCTTTCGACTCTACAAAGTCATCGAACTTTCTTTTTATTCTTAAGCCGCAACCGCTTCTGCTTCTGCTGCTGCTGCCCTGCCTAGGCTGTTTCTATTCTGAGTTTAGTTTTGTTTATACTACTTGTATAACCAATTCTTAAGTATATGTATTATGTCTCATCACTTATCTGCCCTTTGTCTGTTTGCCAGCCATATTAATTAATTATGCTTGAAAGGCCAGTCAGCCAATCAGCCCCGCGAAGGCAATTTGTTGCAGTTTCTTGTAAAGATATGTAAGTTTATTGTTAAACCGTTTGGGTCGTGGCCGTTTCAAATTTTCCAATCTCCTGACTAATTTTATTAATGATGCGCAATTTGTTACAATTAGCAACGATTTAAAATGGGCTTAGAAGCCTTTTATTAACTGATAGTGCTGTCAGTTAGCGAATACAGTGGCATTATTAACAATGTGATTAGTAAACGCTTGATTAATAACGATGCGATCAAATAGAACAGTCTGAGAAACGCAAATAACAAGAATTTTAAAACTAAGCGACCATGAGTTTTCGAATTGAGCAACATAATCGCCTAAAATGGATTAATGTTTTTAGTTTACATTCAATTTTAAATAACTTTTCGCTATTAATTAAATCAAAAATCGATCGATTCTATTTCACCTCAATGGTAATGAAGAGTAGCTCCATAAGGAATATAGTAAAAGAATGCGTTCTATTTTTTTCAAGTACGTTTCCATTTAAAATCATTGTTTTAATTAACTATAAAACGTTTATTCATAATTAATCATCTTTGTCGAACAAAAATAAAACAAAATTTGAAAAATATAAATATTTTATTGACTCTTGTACTTTAAAAACATATTCTTTAATTTATCAAAATAATTTTTTCACTTCAAATTAGAAACAGCTTTAACAAAGAACAAAATCAAATTTAAATCAAAAAAATTCTCGAAATGAAAAACAATATACCATATTATAAGGTCTTTAAACGACTTTTTTTTGAAAATATTATTTTATTTGGTGTGTTTTTTTACATTTCAGGAATATGTATATTATTTTAATTTATTTAAAACAAATCATACATTTTTTTCTGGAAATATTTTTAAATTAAAGAATTTTAGGAAATTTATGGAATATATTCTCAATATATACAAAAATGTTATCAAAAAACAAAATACTTTTCTGTAGTTTATAATAATTACATATGTATATGTACATAGATTTGTTTTTAAATGAAAACCATTTCAACTTCTATCCCAAAACTGTGCAGTTTGTCATTACTATTTATTCGGAAAGCTTTAGAAGTGACTTAAAAACTGAAAATGTAGATCATTATTCGAATTAAATCCCAAAATTGTAAATTTTGACATTCATTTTTATGCCTTTTTGTATTGGAACTTAATGTGTGCAATCATTTGTCTCATTTACACTAATGTCACATAAAGATAGTCTTAATTACCCGAATATATGGGTCAACACACTCTGGGGAGCCACGGTCTTCCATACTATACACAACAAAGAACATTTTAAAGAGATCAAAAATTAGTAGATAATAGCCTAGCTGTGCCGTTTTAGACTTGTTATTTTCAACCGCGCTGATGAGAACAGAAGTCATTTAATAGACCCGTTAGCCATATCGTAAAATTATATTCAGTTTATCCACACCAGGGAAAATAATCAAAGCGCAGTTGCATATTAAAAATTGAATTATTATTATTCACTTCTAATACATTTGAAGGCGCCAATCAAGATTTTTATTGTCTTTTACGACACCTCGACCATATCAGCAATTTTGATCAAAAATTAGAAGCATCTTTAGTTAAACAAGAAAGGAATGCTAAAGTCGAGCAGGCTCAACTCTTAAATACCCTGTACCACCCCACAAAAAAGTAATTAAATTAATTTAATTAAATTAATTAATTAATTTAATTAAATTAATTAATTTAATTAATTAATTTAATTAATTAACTAAATTAATTTAATTAATTAACTAAATTAATTTAATTAATTAACTAAATATTCCATGCATGCATAGATACATTTACATTTACATCAGAATCGTGCCTTAAGCGTGTTTGTGTACTTGTACATATGTATGTATGTGTGCATTGGGCCTGGTTATATGGCTATAACTTTCTTTCCGATCATTCTATCATAATGAAACTTGGTATACGGATATACAATTACTAACTGGATGTGTCTACCAAATTTTAGTTCAAAATTCCAAGAATTACGGGAGTTATAGAAAATCGTTAATAGGGGGGGAGTGGGGGGGTGGATCAGAAAAAATGAACAAACTCGTCCTTTCTCGGTCTCAGGAGAATCTGTATACCAAGTTTGGTTATTCTAGCTCTTATACTTTCGGAGATCCTTGCGTTCATACAGACAGACAGACAGACAGACAGACGGACAGACGGACAGACGGACAGACGGACATGGCTATATCGACTCGGCTTGTCATGCTGATCAAGAATATATATACTTTGTGGGGTCTACCAAGCCTCCTTCTGTGTGTTCCATGTGCACTCGCACAAAACTAATATACCCTTGTACCCTTTGGGTACAGGGTATAAAAAGGTGTGTATGTCTGCTGTTAAGTTCTTATAATTTTAAGAGTTAGAAAAACAGAATTATTTATCATTATTATTATTTATTTTATAATTCTTAAATTTTTCAGCATTAGCGTATAACGAATTTTCTCATGAAGATTAAATAACTGATCAGTGAAATATATATATTTATTTCCAGAGATTTGATAATGTTGATTGATTTATATTTGATTGATTTGGTTCAAATTCTAATTAGAATAAAATATTATTTGTACATTTTAAAAATTAAATGAAACAAGGCATGTAGGGTGTGAAATATTTTCACTGCTTTTATAGTTAATTAAACAAAACAAATGCTGTCTGCTAATTAAACACAACCATGACACAGCTCGTTAGTCACATTATTCATATTTGTACGTACATACATATAATATCAACTAAAATAATTAAACCAAGCAAAAAGTACACACATGCTTTCGCACCATTTGAGTTGTAAGAACAAACGAAAAGCTCACAATACAAATTGCACATTTCGAACAAACAACAACAAAACATCAACAATACACACATTTGTGGCAGCAGGGCTGAAACAATCGAGTTTTATTGTGCTTCTTAGTCAGAAATTCCCAAATGCGCCATAGAAGTTTGTCGTCGTTTTTCTGCTTGTTTTTCTATGCAAATAGTATTGTTTATGATCAGATACTTTTTGGTTTCGTTCTGGCTTGAGGCAAGCTAAGATTGGTCGTTGACAACAGTCTGAGGCGTGGGAGATTTGTGGTCATAATCCGCCGTCAACCATGTAGGCTGACCGCAAACTTAAGATCCTGCTACAATTTGTGTTACGAGTAGAGGCCATAAAGAAATATCGCATTAGAAACTTTCGAAACAGAGTTTGGGCGTTCAATTGATTGCAAACTTGTTGCTCGCTTCCGTTTCGCAGTGTAGGAGTTTATTTATACAAGCCAGAACGCTGCTAATGTGGGCGACACCGAAATAGACAGTCATACACACAAATGTACATATCTATGTGTTGTATATTTATCTTTCAAGAACTTGTTTCATTAAGAATGAAATACATTACATGTGACCTTGATTAAGAGCGCAGCTGTGGCGGCAACACGTTCACAATTACAATGTATTGCCATTCCAGGCCTAACCTAATGCTAAGTTAATTCAAAGGATTCGATGTTTTAGCGCTCTCCTGTCGTATGGCGTTAATGAGCTCATAGTTCACCAGGAAAGTGAAACGCAGTCCGGACATCTCAACGGTGCAGTTGTTCGCGAGACGGGTCTTGCTGCCCGTCAGCAACGGAGTGCCGTCAATGAAGATGGCGCGTTTGCCTTCGTTGGCAATGAAGAAGTCACCATTGCTGCGCAACTTAATGGTACCTTGACGTCGCGATATTTTGGCCGCGGGTCCCTCCAGCGACAAATCTACATCCACCACACAATCCTTAGCATCGCGTCCGAAAGTAATCTCTTTGGAGCGCATTAAATAGCGCACATGACGACCGCATAGACAAGCCAGAGTTTGATTATCAAACTCGGTGGCTGTAGTGGGGCCCAAGACGGAGTCAACGAGCACACCCCAGCGTGACAATTCGTTCTCCAGCAGCCGTATGTCACGCTTGTTACGTCGATCCGCCAATGTTAGTTCTATTTCCAAAGCCTCGTCGTGCTGGTCGTGCAAATCATGATCGAAAATTTGATCCTCCGCATCGGAAAAGCTTAATGGCTGGTCTGTAGTCTGCAGAGAGCGAATGCTCTGATCGGGCAGCAGATTATACTGCTTCAGCAGCAGCCAGTGATTGTGCAGAGATTTGGCAGTGCGTGCACAATAAAAAACAGCTGCATTCTTTTCCAGCAACTCCTGGAATTGTTCCATCTTGGGCGTTTCAGTCTGCGAACATGTTAAAAATAATGAAGTTACAAAACTAGCGTATTTGTGCTGCAATGCTTACGCTTTTGATGGTGCCCAAAAGTTCCTCCTCTTGCGTACTATACAATGCCTTGCGCTGTACCGATTCTATTAGTTCGGGATGCAGATTGCGCATGGCGGAGACGGCAATGCGTGATACAGCTGGCTCATAGAGCAGTGCATACCAACGTTGCTGCAATTCCTGCAGCGTAAATTTGCAGGAGAACTTTACGCCGCGATGAATCATGCGCAAATCATTGGTCTGCTGAATGCCTATGATGAGGGCGAGATCATCGATGGGCTTCCAGCGACCCAAATCCTTGGTGGCAATTTGGCCCAAGGGACGACCATTGCGACGTGGACGTTTGTTGTTGGTCGGCCGCGAGGGACGTGCGCGACGCTCTGTGGCCGGGGCACGTTCCATAACTGGCGGCGCGGGCACAGCGACTGGTAACTGCGTTGCGGGCTGAGCTACGAGAGGTGTAGACGGTGCTGCGGCGCTTAGCGAAGCAATTGAAGCAGGGGTACCGGGCGCAGTGTCTATGGAAGCGGGCGTTTTAGGTGTTTCCGGAGCAGCGACAGAGGCGGCAGTTGTGGAAGAGACAAGACTGTTTCCTTGAAGCAATGTTGGCAGCGACGATCCCAGACTTCCAGCGTAGTTTTGTGATGTGGTGCGCGGTCTGCTGCCACGGTTTAGGTCGCCACCGCCACGGTTCTGTTGAATCAGGCTATATTCTACAATTTCGTCGTCGAAACGCTTGCGTTTTATGGAGCGCGAAGAGCTAGATTTGAGAAAAAGTGTAACCATAATTAATGCAAGGAAAAATTATACAACTGTAAATTTTCTAACCTTCTACGCTTTTGGTCGTTTTGCAGCTCGATAGGCAAATTTTTAAGTACGGGGTTTGGCGAATTCTGCACACTTGACGATCTGGTTGTAGCAAGCGAAGGAGCTGCTGACACAAGAACTGGCGCAGCTGCCGAAGCTGGTGAGGCAAGGCCTACTACGCTCGAGCTGATCGACAGCGTGGAAGGCGTGCTCGGGGTTGCTGGACTCTTTATATTTGCCAGCGCGGCATTATTAGCAGGTGCAGGAATTACTTGCGCAACTTCCATAGCTTATTTTTGCAAACAATTGTACAAATAAGCTGTATCACGAAATTGTGTTTGCGTCGCATTAAAATTTGGGAAACACTGCATTTTATCGATGTATCGCAAATAGTCGACATGCACAACCGATCTGGCAGCGCTGTATTTGCATTTTAATACTAAAACGACGGACAGGCAAGCAAATTATTTGCAAATTGTTGAGAATTGATAAATGTATTGACTGCAACTGTGATCAATCAATTAAATTAAGAAAAGTAAAACAAAGAACTGTGTTTACGGAAGTTTTTGTGCATACGCCGCTAACAGAATTCGAGCGTCTGACCACGACAGTCCTTACTGTAGTTTTGGTATTTATTTTGTAGTGGCTGTGTCTGTTTTGGCTGCAACAATAGCTGAATTTAATAATATTATTTATAAATTACAACGATAGCACGGAAATGAGCTTACTATTTTCACTTGCCAGTAATTAGCAGTTAGCAAATAAATGAAGTGGGTGTAAAGCAGTTTGGAAAAAATTGAGAAAATTGAGAAAATACCAATACAGGACGATTAAGGATCTTCGCAGTTGCGGATGCGCCAAATACATAAATGATTAGGCCACCAGCACAGACAGCAACTGCAAACTGCTAATAAAAAGCTTAAACATTTGACAAGCAGCAATGAGGTGAGTTTAGTCCAAATGCGGAAACGAATATACAAAGTGTATGACTAATCGATGATGACGCTTGCAGTTTGCTTTATGAGGAATCTCCGCATTCGGAGAGCAAAATGGACATCTCAGAGACACCCACAGACTCGACGGGCGTTTCGCCAGTGGCCGACGAACACGCCACAACGCCAAACAAATCCTATGTTGTTCATAACGAGCAAATACAGGATATAATTGAGGAGGTGGAGGCGGGTGAGCAGGGAAATGAAAGTAAGGCAGCGGCAACAACGAGCGCAGCACTGGACAATCGATTAATACGACCAGAGCTGCTCCAACTTGAAACCATGCCACAACGACAAATAATTGAGCGCACCCTGGCTAACAGCCATCCACTGATGTCGCCAACGAACACCGACTCCGATTCGGAGCCGTTTCAAAGCAAATGCAAAAATTTTCCGGATGTAGTGCCACGCACAGAGCATCAGCCGCTGGTGCCCTCGTTGGTGGAGACTGTGCAGGCACGCAATAATCTCAATCAACAGCAGCACCAACCAAAACTACAACAACAGCAACAGCTTATGCGCGCCAAGCCACAGGATGCCAAAGTGAGTTTACTGCGTGCCAGCAGTCCGGATTTGTTAAGCAGTGAGTCCGACGCCGATGTCTCACAGTATTTAGCGGCTGTGGAGTCAAATTTTCAATCGGTCTCGCTGCTGCCCAATGCCACCACCAATAAGACGATGCGCAAAACAAAACGTTTTGTGCCAGGCTCTGGAGTGCCCGGCTGTGAGGACATCTCTAGCTTGGACTCCATATCGAATCACAGCTTTGACGATGACGAAGACATCGAGCACAATCTGGCCTCGCTTAGCCCATCGAGTTCGCTCATTGATGGCTTAGATGGTGAAGACGACGATGACGATTGTGAAGGTCCCGAATTATTGCCCGACAACGACGATGATTTGGACGACTTCGGCTTGACCACAACTCCCACGCCGCTGGGATCGTGCAATGTCGCAGCGACGACAGCCCTGCCCCAATACACGGCCGACGAGGAGAGACGTGACTCACGCAATTGGCAAAAGATAACGTTGCCCGATGGACGCACCCGGGAGATTGACATGCGTGTGATTGAGCCGTATAAGCGTGTGCTCTCGCATGGCGGCTATTTGAAGGCTGGTGGTCAGAATGCTATTGTCATATTCTGCGCCTGCCACCTCCCGGACAGATCGCGTGCTGACTACAGCTACGTCATGGACAACCTGTTTCTGTATGTGGTGAAGACGTTGGAACAGCTCGTAACCGATGATTATGTCTTAATATATCTGCATGGTGGTTCCAACAGGCGCAATGTGCCGCCCTTTCCATGGCTGAAGCGGTAAGTGGGAGATAGCCTTCGATACCCCATCAATTAATCTATTAATTCGGCTTTAGATGCTATCAATTGCTCGACCGTCGACTGCGCAAGAGTCTGAAGCACATGTATTTGGTGCATCCAACATTCTGGATCAAATCTTTGGTGTGGATGGCGCGTCCATTTGTCAGGTGAGCTACTAAATGGTATTTGGCTGCAGCTCAGATAACATTCTCATCAATTGCAAACAAATATAATGAGATCATTTGCAAGAAAGAGTAGATAAATAGGCTTATATTGGTGGTAAATAAATACTATAAAATGTTTATACATTTATAAAAATGCAAGCCAACTTTTGTGTCAAAATCTTTACGGAAGATGCTACACACATCGCTTAGAAATAAACTTTAATTTGATAGATAAAACAAATTTTAATATATTTTGTAATTTTAAAAGTGAAAAGCTCTTTTTAAGAAAACCGTATTAAAATGTCAAAACATTGCATTGAATCCAAATAGAGGAAAAGATAAATAGTATAAATAAAATAAAATTCGGCCCAAAGTTGGGGTAAAATTGGGGGATATTTGCCAAGAAACAACCAAAATGAACATCCGTATATAATGTTAAGCATCAAGTTTAAAGATGTTTAATTAGTTTTGCATTTTGCAGTAAACTGTTTTTATTTATTTGTAAAATATATTATAGTGAGATTTTCTAATTTCAGCACAAAATTCTGGCGCAAGTTGATTTACGTGAAATCGCTGGAGGAGCTGGGCTCGCATGTTGTGGTCGAAAAGGCTGCTATACCCGAGAAGGTTAAACAGTACGATGCCAAACGGCATTGAGGGAAATGCTTCAAACGTGCATGGATTTGAAAATCACCGAATTTCCTTGCCTCAAAAACATTCAAACACTCGCATTCTATTCTAACATTCCTTCGCACTAACTATTTGTTTGACAAATGCTTTACCCTATCCCCCCTTTATTTGAATGTAATCGCGTATTTATTTCATTTCTCGCTCTATTTCCAAATGAATTTAATTTAGGATCTCGACTTTTGTGATATGTATTTTATATTTCTGAATGTCTATCCTCCCCACATTATATATTTTGATTCGAATTTTTCGCTCAACTCCAAGCCGAAGCAATATACAAGTTTCATGTTTCATGTGCGCACAAACTTTATCATGAAGATATAGTGCAGCGTGTTCAGCAAACATCGAACAGGTTTTTGTAGTATTTACTGACAGCAGTAAGAATTGTAGTGTTAGTAGTGATGATGATTATGATAGTATCTACACATTTTATAGTGGCTTTTTATAATAAATGGCAGTTATCACATGCATACATAGCTTCCGCAACAGCTGCAACAAAAGCGCACTCCATTATTAAGAAACAAGCAAACCAACAACAACATTAAATCGTAACATATATCTACATATACATATTGGCTTTTGTAGCCTGGTCTTAATTAAATGGGACAAAATACGCAACAAGAAACCACCAAACTTCCGTACATGTTACCTTCTTTGGCACTCTTAAAAACACGACGCAACGTCTCCGTCGACAGAGAGTCTTTGTTTTATGTGACCTACGAATGTTTTTTGTAGTATCAATATGTTTTACTGAAAAAAACAGAAAAGAAACGAGCATTAACTAAAGTTAAGTAATTGAAAATGTTTAGCTGAATTTTTGTGTAACGCTTTTGTACAAAATATTGTATATTTAAATTGTTCTCAACCAAAAGCACCAATACCAACAACAACAACAACAAAAACAACTACAGCAAAAAATAACGTATTACGTAGATTACGAAAACTAACTAATTAACTGACTCTGACCCCATGCCAGTCATTTTGTAGTTATGTACAAGAAAGTGTGAAGAAAGTAATAACTCTGCGCCGAAAATAGCAAGTCTATAGTCTGTAAGTTTGTGAATTAGTGACCATTATATATACACACTCACACACATCTGATATTTATATACACAACCGCATACATACTTACATATACATACATATATAGATTATGTATTTGCTCTCTACATTTAGTATTGAATGCGACACGACATGAACAACACATACATACATATGTACGTACTATAAGCATATAACCGATTGATATTAACGAGCGATATTTTGTTGGTTTCCTTTTTGCTTATAAAATATAAATGCAAAACTACTATATGCTATTTTATTTTATTTTTGGGGTTTCAAGCCACAGCAGATGCCTGATCGTGCGAGATTCTGGACCGCGAAATCAAATCAGAAATCACAAAACGAAATTACCTGATGAATGGGCCGATTTTTAAAATATTTACTTGAAATTTCACTACCAGATCTTTAGTAATTCGAATCAGATTTAAAAATGCAGCTTAGCTTTATCGTATTTAACGTATCGTATTTAACGTATTCTAAAATCCGTACCTATGGATCAGTAATGGATTCTTAAACTGTCTTTATTAGATTACTTAAAAATTGCAGATAAAATTTAAAGTTTAAGCAAATTTGGTTACAAAATTAATTTTTTTTACAATAGTTGTATTCTTATTTAAACGATTAAGCATATACACTTTGGTCGCAATCCCACAGATCTGTATCTTCATGGAATTGTATAAGGACCAGCTCATACGTCACAATTGTGCCGGCAACCTGTAAGCCGAATTCTTTGTAAAATCATCTATAAAGCCACCATATCCATTTCCAACTTACGCTCAGGACTAGTTTACGCGTCAAATTAAAGAACTTCATGCCCGTGAGAGCCACAAAGTCGCTGTTAACTTCCTCTGTAAAACGCTTGACCTCCGGACACCAGGATTCCTTAGGAACACAACGCAAATAGCGCAGGGTACGGCGAGATTCGTCGTTCACACTCGCCGAATATAGTGAAACGGCCAGGGTCCTTCCAATCAGGAACATTAGTGAGAAATAAAAGTAGACGGCATGAGTCACAGTAGGCATTGTGCTATAAAATAATACCATTAGCTCTAAGCGGAACCAAAAATTGATCATAAACACGCACTTGAGACTGCGGAGCAGTTGCACGCATATGAAGTACAAATTATTGGAGAAGGACACCATGGTGATTAGTGATATGGCATTGTCCAGTTTCTCGCATACGGTGCATAAATTCCGATATTGTATACGACGTTCGGACCAATACGTAGGAGGCATGTGCTATAGAAGAACGAGTAGAATGTTAAAATTGTGAAAATTCGATTCTTGTATACCCTGAACCCAACTCCATTCCTAGAATGTTACCATTTGAATAAGCTGTATCGAACAAATCTTGGCTATGACAGTTATATATTATAGTTATATATTCGATGACACTTTGGAATATGGTGGAACATTATTAATATACTGGGGTAATATTTTAAAAATTTACTATAAGCAAATGGTTTTATACTTCTGATTAGATAAACCTTATCTATGGGAATCGTGATAAACTTGATTTGTATGTGGATACGACAAGTCCACACACCAAGTTTGGTGTCCATAGCTGTTGTGGTTCAAAAGTTCTCGGTGTTCATACAGACGGACGTTCCAATGGAAAATTCTTTATATACTTGTGTAAATAATGGGCTCTGCAATGCTTCCTTCTGCCTGTTTCGCCGTTTTGGGTACAGGGTCTAAAAATACCCTATATAAACTTTACTCCAATTCTAGACACACTCACCATGCCCTTGAACTTGAGCAGATTATCATTCAGTTGCCTAAAATTGGCAGCCAGTCCCACGCTTATGATCATCACAAATATATCCATGTAGTTCCAAATGAAAGTAGAGTAAACATTTTGTATTTTGCCCCACATGGCCAAGGGTACGGAGTAGTTGAAAACGTAGAAAATCTCATCATTGATCGTCGTTAAAAAGTTACGTATGGGATCGTCAGTCCTATGGCAATAGTTGGAGTAACTTATCGCTGAGATCATGCTCAGCAAATGTTCGGCTGTGAATATTTTAAAGTAGGAAAACTACCAGAACTCTGGATATACATATATAATTTTTTCAACTCACCCAACGACAACATCATGCCCACAAACATCACCATATGAATTGTGTAGGCCATACGCGACTTTTCCACCTGCGTCTGATACTGCGGAAGGTCCTGTTCGACCTCATACCAATACATCATCAGGGCGGGCCACTTTTTAGCCAACATCAAGGCATTGACACAGACCAATAAAATGCAGCCGCGAAATATAAGTGGTTCAATGTTGTTGAAGGTAATCAGTCCATTGAAGACTTTGTAGCTGGTAAATCCTATGCTTGTGAGTGTGGACAGGATGAAGAGCAGGCAGTAGAGGGTGCGCCAATTCCGCCAAGCAAACGACAATTCCGAAGGAAGTGGCCCAGAGATACCCTTCACTGGCATCATGGCAAAGAACTGAGCCACGAGAAACACTTTTCCCACGGCCTCGTGAAAACTGCCATTGTATTTAAACTTTTCGCTCGTACTACGAGGCAGATATTCTATCGAAAAACAGAGGAGAAATTATTTTACTATATTCTGTTATTAAATACCGCCTTACTTGGTCTATGATTTCTGGCCTCATATTCTGCCTCCAACCGACTTATGTAGTCACTATAATTTCGCTTAACAGTCTGCTTGAGGGAACTGTAACAAAAATTAGGATATTATGAGAACTTTTGACTCTTCTTCTTACCTCTCATGCATTAAATCCAATTTGCGCAATAACGGCGATTTCCCTTTATTTCTCAAACCACGAAATTTGAGGTCGAATTTTTGTAGAAATTTCATTTCTCGCTTCTACTGGCAAATGCAAGCAAAATGCAACTAAAAGTTTTTTTTTTATATTTTTCTAGAACCCATGGATTAAGCCGAAACACGTTATTAGCACCTGTTGTTGTGCACTTATCTATAATTAAGGGTCAACAGTTGAGAGCAACAGTAAACTCTCATTAGAGTCAACTACCTTTTTCATTTAACAAAAAAAATATCGTTTGAAAAGTTGATATTACAATATAATCCCTAGCTTTCTTTTACTTATACGTTCCTATTTTTTATATGCATTAATTTATTTTTAAATCAATGTTCCTAATCATAAAGAAAACTAATATCAAAACTAAAAATGCATATACTGTTTTCAATTTATAGCAACTTATATTGAACTTTCAATTTTATCCCATTTGAAAAATCAAGTTCACAACATTTATACAATAAAGTAAAAAAATTGTGTAAATATTTTGTAAATTTTTAGACTGAAAAAATCCGAATGCAGGTAGATATTTAGAACGCAACACCACTTTTCATGACCCTTTAAAAATAATTTTGATTTGAATGTTTTAAATATAAAAATGAAGAGCAATGAAATCAAATCAAATGTATCATTTAATTGGAATAATCTGGATCTGAGGAGAAAACAAAAGCCAAAAAGATCATTTTTATAACCAAGCCAAACAATATTTTAGTTAATTGTTTAATCAGAAGCTATTACTTAAAAAATTAATCTTGGCTTATAAATTGCTTTTGATTTAATGAATTTTGATTAAATATGGGATCACAATGAAATATGAAGTACTAAAAAGACATTAAATAAACGAAGCGTGTCAATTTATAACTTTCTAAAACTGAAATGAATTTCAATTCAAAAAACTCCGAATTGAATTTTTTTTTTTGAAACTCGGAAAGTAGGAAAAAATATAAAATTCGAATCAAATAATTAAAGTGAATATCCCGAAACAAAAAGTTAAAGAAACATTTCAAGTGATAATTTTCTAAAATTTCAAAAATTTAAATTCAATAAAAATACTTTAAATTCAATAAAAAAAAATGAAACGGATTTTCTAGTGTCTACTGTGGAGCTGTGAAGGTATGATTATTTGTATAGCAGGGGCGGTTCAATTTTCATAGCAGTCATTAACTTTGTCCGCTTTGTTAAACTGCAGCAAAATTAGTTCGTAGGTCGCGATGGTTCCCGCCACCTGGAAAACATATATATAGCAACATTTAAATATTTAAGAGTTTCGATGGGAAGGGGGGGGGGGGGGGAGGGTCACTAAGACTTGACCCACCGTTATGACCACGCCACGGGTTAAGCGAAACAATTTCATGCCAGTGAGGGCCACCATATCCATATGAACTTCCTCAGAGAAACGCTTGAGCTATGAATGATTCTTTTACTTTGGTGGTGTGAACAAAGGGTATAGAATTAGGTACCTCCATGCACCAGTACTCTCTAGGAACACATCGAAAGATGAGCAGCGGCCGTTTGGACTCATCATTTATGCTGGCGCTATAAAGCGAGAGTATCAGGGTGCGACCCAATAAGAAGGTGAGTGAGAACCAGAAATAAAGGGTGTGTGAAGTCGAGGGCTTCTTTCTGAAAGCATTGAAGATTCCATATTAGGAATAGTTATATCGGCTGAAACTTACTGCAAGCTTTTCAAAATCCTGGCACATATGAAGTACAGATTATTGGAAAAGCACAGCAAAGTGATGGTTGATATGGCATCGTCAACCACATCGCACAATTTGCACAAATTCCGAAAGTTTTTACGGCATTGTATCCAATATTCCTGTTTGGTGGGCTGGCAATCGAAGCTATAGATAAAACAGATATAGCATTTAATAATCTATGCCACTTACCTGCCTCGCCTCCTGCTGCATGTAATCATTGAGTTGACGAAATCGTGATGCCAGCGAAACACTCACAGACATGACAAAAATATCGTTGAAGCTCCAGGCAAAGGTCGCCAATACATTAACCACCTTGCCCAATATGCCCATCAGTTGGTTATAGTCCATAAACGGCCAGATATGTACAAAATTTAAATACAAAAAGCTCTCGATCGGCTGATTTGGCATAACGGGACAGGCATTAGCATAATAAATCTTTGCCAACATGCTCAGTATATGCTCCACTGCAGGTTGAAAGATAGGTGGTAGATAGGTGTAAAGTTACCTTTTTTTATATAATACCCACCCAGCGAGCACATGATGCCCACCAGCGTAATCATGCGAATATGTTGCGCCAGAGCACCCCGTTCCCGTTCCGTACGTATTCCGGCAATTGAGACTCTACCGCCTGCCATTCCACAACCACCGCAGGCCACCTGTGAGCCAATTGAAAGAAGGCCAGCGAAATGAAAAATATGGAGGCATAGAAGATCAGTATTTCCACAGAATCAAAATCAAAGTTGACTTTCGCCACAAAGGCAGCCATGAAGCCAGAGGCGATGCCGAAGAAGACTATAACAATCATCGCATAAACAGTCCGCCAACTCCACCACGAGAATCTCAAATCGTCAGCGCATTTCGAAGCAATGCCACGCACGGGCATCAGTGCGAATATCTGTGCTATTAATAGTACTGTACAAGATAGTGTGGTTATTACTAGTATTGGTGAGTGGTAATTCAAATTGTACCGGGCCTTATAGCTTCCTGAAAGGAGCCATTATGAATATAGTCCCACTTATCACCGCGACGCAAACACGTTCTCACTGTTTGAAGAATTGAAAGGAGATCTCAGAGAGTGGGATTTGGTTGTAAACTTACATTTGGGCCAAGCCGCTCTTTGCTTCTGCTTGAAAGTAGTGCTTTGTCTGAAGTTGGAGGTGCTTGCGCTGCAATTTATATGATTAGATAAATTATCCTCAAGTTAGAACAAGAATTGCAATTTAATTTGATTCCAGATAATATCAAATCAGAAATGAAGATGTCTTATCTGGAGAGTTCTTAGCTGAGAAATGAATGTGAATTTATGTGAAGGGTTTTATTCGAATACAATAAGAATTGGGAAATTTATAAAACTCTGTTCGTATAACTTTCCAGCCAACTGAACTGATTTTTAAGCTTATCGACTGAATTTCTAGAATAGGCTTGATCAGAATAGACTGGCGGACAACCGTTTACAGTCCTATACTATATTAGGCAGGTTGGTCCAGATGTATGGAGATCACGGAGTGCGGGTTAATAATCTATTACCCTCTACAATGTTTTGAAAACACCATATTTGTTCTGTCCCCATCGCAATCTTGGCATCCTTATACAGGGCCAGAATTGTTGCCATTGCCTCGGTTGCCTATTTTAGGGTCACGTTGTCGTTGTAACTCAGACTTTTGACTACTCAGTCGAGCCAGCCTGCACCGTCGAAAGAGGTGGGCCCCACATCCGGGTTCTCTGCAGTAAGGCATCAATCAGCTTCGCCTCCACTTTTCTCTACTGCTCCTGCATCATCCTCTCATCGGCGTCTTTTCAGTTGATGAGCGCCACGGCTACTTCTACCACTACCCTCTTTTTCGCAGTTTCCACCAAGGGCTAGCATTACATGGCCAATTCCTACGTTGGTTTTGTTGGATCGATGCCTGTATTGTGGATTTCTGTGCAAATTGGTTCAATCTTTTATTCCAAGGCAAATTTTACATTGTTCTTTTTTAATATTATTTCGAATAATTTTAAAATAATTAATATTTTTGTCAGCCATTTTCATTATTGGAGATTTCATACTTTTAAAGTTGGATTATATGAAAACATTTTTGTAGATTTTGTGGATATAGTATTTGTATTCAATTACAAATCTGCAAAAAATTTTAATTCGCGGCCTTCACTTACCCGGTGGAAATGCGTGGTGATCGCAAAAAATTTATACGCACTTCCCCTTTGCGTTTTTCCAGAGATGTACTGCTCATGGTTTTGGTCATATTCCATACACCTGCTTGGCCCAGAGCCCGTTACTTACTGTCGGCGACTAGAATATTAAACTGAAAGGCCATTTCCAACTATTTCAGTTTGATGAAAATCTTTAAAATCTTTTTGCAAATTACAGACTACGCCTGCTTGTTAGCTGATAGCTCATAAAATATGCAATAACTGCTTTTGCGGCTATTTAAGAGAAGGGGCTCTTGGAGGAGCCTCCACTGCAAAAGTTGTTCTCTGACTGAGCACACTTCATTTGAATAATAAGCTCCAAAAAGTGTCATCTGTAGGGTTGGGACCTTGAAAATGTTGTATTTGATATTCTGAAGTCAAAACGCACCCCAAAGATAATGCGTCGGTTAAGAAAGAAGAAGCTCTTGTCGTTGGAAGCGAAGTCCGTGCAAGTTCCGTTGAAATCATCATTCTCTCCCAGACATAATGCTTGATGCGTCGATGGATTTGCTTCACTCGTATCTCAATAGCCCAGGAAATCAAAACATAAAAAACAAAATTTACGAGAAACGAAAGGTAAAAAGAAATACTTTCTTTCAATCCAATCCGAAAAACATATTGATGATTTCCATTCTTTTAAAAAAAAACTAAATTATGTAATATTCTGAAAAGAACAAAATTATTAAAAAACTTCAATCAGTACAAAAAAAAATACAAAATGAATATTTTTAGGAATACTGACGCCTTTAACCACAACTGGCTATGTGTTATCGGAAAGGTAAATAATATTCTGCAAATGATAAACGGAGGCATTTATTACATGTTATTGTAATTTGATTGCCTGAAGGCTTTTTTATAATATTTATGTATATTGTTTTTGAAGTCGACAGTCAATGTTTGTTGGCATAAAGATATATTCACACCCTATTGAACTTGCTAAAAGGCTCATTTAAGTTACATACATTTTATGAAATTTTATATTAACAGCATAATTAAAGTGTAAAAAATGAAAATAAAATATTATGTAATAAATAGTGTTTACTGTAGAGCTGTGAATGCTCAATTTTCATAGCAATCATTAACTTTGTCCGCTTTGTTAAACTGCAGCAAAATTAATTCGTATGTCACGATGGTGCCCGCCACCTGCGAAAAATATAAATAGCAACCATTAAGTACTTAAGGGAGGGGGATAAGTCCCAACCCACCGATATGACCACGCCACGGGTTAGGCGAAAGAATTTCATGCCAGTGAGGGCCACCATATCCATATGAACTTCCTCAGAGAAACGCTTGAGCTATGAATGATTCTTTTACTTTGGTGGTGTGAATAAAGGGTATAGAATTAGGTACCTCCATGCACCAGTACTCTCTAGGAACACATCGAAAGATGAGCAGCGGCCGTTTGGACTCATCATTTATGCTGGCGCTATAAAGCGAGAGTATCAGGGTGCGACCCAATAAGAAGGTGAGTGAGAACCAGAAATAAAGGGTGTGTGAAGCCGAGGGTTTCTTTCTGAAAGCATTGAAGATTCCATATTAGCAATACTTGTAGAAATATCGGTCGTGGTTGAAACCTACTGCAAGCTCTTCAAAATCTTGCCACAGATGAAGTACAGATTATTGGAAAAGCACAGCAAAGTGATGGTTGATATGGCATCGTCAACCACATCGCACAATTTGCACAAATTCCGAAAGTTTTTACGGCATTGTATCCAATATTCCTGTTTGGTGGGCTGGTATTCGAAGTTATAGTTATGATAGATATGGTGTTTAATAATCTGTACCCTTTACCTGCCTCGCCTCCTGCTGCATGTAATCATTGAGTTGACGAAATCGTGATGCCAGCGAAACACTCACAGCCATGACAAAAATATCGTTAAAGCTCCAGGCAAAGGTCGCCAATACATTAACCACCTTGCCCAATATTCCCATCAGTTGGTTATAGTCCATAAACTGCCAGATTGGTGCAAAATTTAAATACAAAAAGCTCTCGATCGGCTGATTTGGTATAACCGGACAGGCGTTAACGTAATAAATGCTCGCCAGCATGCTCAGCAAATGCTCCACTGAAGGTTGAAAGTTGGTAGATATGTGGTAGATAGTTGGTTATCTTTTCTGGATAATACCCACCCAGCGAGCACATGATGCCCACCAGCGTAATCATGCGAATATGTTGCGCCAGAGCACCCCGTTCCCGTTCCGTACGTAGCTCCGGCAATTGAGACTCCACCGCCTGCCATTCCACAACCACCGCAGGCCACCTGTGAGCCAATTGAAAGAAGGCCAGCGAAATGAAAAATATGGAGGCATAGAAGATTAGCGTTTCCACAGAATCAAAATCAAATTTGACACTCGTCACAAAAGCAACCATGAAGCCAGAGGTGATGCCGAAGAAGACTATAACAATCATCGCATAAACAGTCCGCCAACTCCACCACGAGAATCTCAAATCGTCAGCGCATTTCGAAGCAATGCCACGCACGGGCATCAGTGCGAATATCTGTGCTATTAATAGTACTGTACAAGATAGTGTGGTTATTACTAGTATTGGTGAGTGGTAATTCAAATTGTACCGGGCCTTATAGCTTCCTGAAAGGAGCCGTTATGAATATAGTCCCACTTGTCACCGCGACGCAAACACGTTTTCACTGTTTGAAGAATTGAAAGGAGATCTCAGAGAGTGGGATTTGGTTGTAAACTTACATTTGGGCCAAGCAGCTCTTTGTTTCTTCTTGAAAGTAGTGCGATTTCTGAAGTTGGAGGTGCTTGGGCTGCAATTTATATTATTAGCTTTAATGAGCCGCAGATAAGAATAAGATTTGCAAGTTCGTCAATTTTCAGATATTGTCTCAAAGCAGAACTTAACAATTTTGTAAAATTACTCTTTGAAACTGAAGCAGATATTTTAAAATGAAGACATACATACTCTTATAAATGACGGTCTTCACTTACTCGGTGGAAATACGTGGCGATCGCCAAAAATTAATACGCATTTTGCCTTTACGTTGCTTCAGAGCTACATTGCTAATGGTTTTGGCCATATTCCAGGCACCTGCTTGGCCCAGAGCCCGTTACTGACTGTCCGCGACTAGACAAATAATTAAACTGAAATGCCAAACGCCTTTGCCAACTGTTCCAATTTAATGAAATGTTTACTACACAGTATATCTTTATAATCTTTGTGCAAATTACAGACTACGCGCCCACTTGTCAACTGATAGTTCATAAAAAATGCAGCAACTAAATGGGCGACTATTTATGAGAAGGGGCTCTTGGAGGAGCCTCCACTGCAGAAGTTTTTCTCCAACTGAGCACCCTCCATTTGATTAATAAGCACCAGTTCGTAGATCATCAAAGTGCCAGCCATCTGTAAGGTGGGGGCATTGAATACAATTTGTATTTGATTTGTTATGAAGGTTAAAACGCACCCCAAATATACGGCGACGAGTAAGAAAGAAGAAACCCTTGCCACTCAAAGCGAAGTTATCTGTACAGATGATCTCATTTAGACGCTTCAGCTCCAGGCACCAAAAATCCGTGGGTATCTCATAGAGGGTGTATGAAATTTGACTAACTGTGAGCGGTATAGAGGAGGCGGCAACCATCATGCTAAGCAGGCGTCCCACCACATGGAATAATGAGAACCAAAAATATAAAGAGTCCACCCAAGTTCCTTTGATTCTATGAAGTAAGGTTTTAAATATATACAAGTATAACAAATATTGGTTAGGTGAGTTACTCACTGAAAGCTGTGATAGATTTGCACGCACAGGAAATACATGTTGTGGGTACTGGATAACAATACCAGGCTGGAAAGCTCCTTATCGTATAGCTTGAGCAAATCACTAAGATTGAGGAGGTCGAGACGCACATTTTGCCAAAATGAATTCGGCATTCTCTCGCCCACATGATTCTTGATGCGCCAATGGAGTTGCTGGAATCGTATCTCAGTGGCACGACAAACCAGAACGAGAAAGATGTCCGGAAAATTCCAGACGAAAGTCATAGAGAGCGTAGTCCAAGTGATCAACGGAATAAGCCACTTTGTAAATGAGAATACCGTTAACAGTTCCGGACGCTCACGCATATAAAAGTTCTTCCAAAAGTCCACAGTCAGATTGCATTCCTGTATTTGTCGCTGATTGTTATAAACTGCACTTGTGAAATAAGTGAGATGCTCGCCAAACGCCAGAATGAGCAACACAACGCCCCAAAGACGGATCCTTCCACTGAAGCTCATACCCAACTGATTGGCATAACATTTTTGCACGAAGACGAGCTCACAGCTCGAGGTTTTTTGGATTATGAGAGGCCATTGCCGTGAGATCATCAGAAAGACCCCAAAACAGGCAATGCAGATTGTGCTAAAAGTAAGCGGACCTACAACAAAACAAATCAATTACAATTTGAAGATATTGTCTTGTACAAGTAAGTTCACAAACCTATGGTATAAATTTTGAGTCCATCATTTAATACCACCTGCGAGGAGAGTACACAGTCGAATATTGTGAAAATCAGAAGCCCTACGCTCACAAGCAGCGACAATGAGAACCAACGAAAGCGCACATCATCCGAGCCCTTCTTGGATAAAACGCCAGATACGGGCATCACGCCAAAGAATTGGGCCAGGAACAGAACTAGAAAAGTTGAAATAACAGAGAAATTAATCAACAAAAGCTACAAAAGCAATTATTTTTTCTCTTCTTTAATAGAAAGCATTTGTTGAACAATGAACAAGAATTTGAAAGCCAGATAAAGTGGAAATTATATTCATAAAAAATAGGTAAAAAAGACGGCAAAATAAATAAGAAAGAAGAAGAAATTATGCTTAGGCAACTTTTTTTAAAATATTAAGTTCAGAAAGTTGTCAACTGAAATATGATTTCAGAGGTTTGTCTTCAGATTACTCTTCTCAAATGTAAAACTAATAAGATTATACGCATTTTTAATATTTTAGTCCATAATTTATAAAACAATTATTTTTATATAGCTTGATTTGTATGCGCGCTGATTTTTTGAGACTGAATATTCTTGATTTTTTATATGAATCATTATAGAAATGTCGCACAGTTTTGATCATGCAGCTTCAAATACTTCCTTCAACACTGCCACAAGCTACTATAACAAACCACTAATGTGCATAATGTCCTTTAGCTTATTGTTTTCACAGTTGAACTTTAATGTCTAACTAATCCAACCATTAAACACATTTGTTTTTCGTTTAGCACTCAAATTTTTATTTAGGAACCTATTTGCTTAAACAATACTACGTTATCGCTTAAATCGTTTCATTGAGTGTCGCAATTACAAAATTTAATACTTAAGTATTATTTAGTTAACATAATTTAATATTCTGTCCCAATGCTACTTACTGGGCCCAATGGCGTGCTGCAGCGTGTTTATATTACTACTTGGCGGCTTCATGTGTGGCACGCAAATGAGACTGAGGCCGAGAGAATTATTTTTGCTGGCCATGCGCTGTGATTGCAATCTCGTAGGGTGTGCGACCCGACAAATTTGAACAACAAATAGTATGATGTGCATTTTTATTGCATTTAAAATAGATACAAATCTGAGCATTAAAGATTTCTGCTGCGCTTCTACGTGCATTGAGCTGTCATTTCATTAACTTCAATTAGTTATCCTTACAATAGCTTGTCCTTTGTCGGATGGCGCCCTTATTAATTACATCGGATATCATAAGTTCGTAAGTTATTATGGTAGTGGCCATCTGCAAAGTATAGAAGATGATGGTTTTTAGGTGAAGATGATGTTTGGCAGTATAGTTACGGCCAAAAAAAGCTGACGCCTAATAAAGAAAAAGTCTTCGCCCGATAAAGCCGTCATGTCGTTTCCCAGTTGCTCGCTAAAGCGTTGAACCTAAAAGAAAATGTTTATAAAAATTGGAGTGTTCTAACTTTGGCGAAAGGTATAGGGATTCTACAAAATCGCTACTGATATCATAAGACTTAATATTTATTTTAGTTAAAGTAACGATCTCGAAGAAGATGAAGATTTCTTATACATAGATATATAAGATACATCTGTGGTAGAAAAAATTTGCAAAATTTTATACCATACCTCAGTGGACCAAGACCTTGACGGCACATCCCGCAAGGCTGTACTTATTTTCTTTTCAAAAACAGTAATGGACGAGGCAATGAAAATAGTAAGCATGGTACGCAAGACAACAAAGGTCAAGGAATACCAGAAGGCCAGCAGCAAAATAAAGTCAACGCCAATGTTTCTAGTCATAAAAGAAATTTTAAGATAGTCTTGATAAGGTCTGCGTACCAACTCACGTAAAACTGTTGAAGAGCTGAAAGCATATAAAGAACATGTTTTTTCCAAATGCGAGTAGCACCAAGGGAGCAATGGCTGCATTCACAAGCCGCACCAGACGCTTAAGCTCCAAATAATGTTGACGAACCTCGGTCCAAAATATAGCAGGCATGGCTTTCAAATGAACGGCAGCAATGCGGCCATGAAGCTTAGCCAGGCCAATGCCCACAAACATGATGAAGCAGTCCGTGAAGGACCGAGGATAAACAATTACCAAGCTGATCCACTAGGTGATAAGGAAATACAGAAAATTAATAACGTGGGTTCCTTTGAAATGCTCACAAAACACCTCAAGAAAAGGCAACAACCAGGCATGGTAGGGCAGCACCATATGCAGATGTGGTCTTTCCAATTTGTAGATGCTCTCGAAGAAGCTCTCATTTATCTTGCACTGCGTTCGCTCCATATTGCTGAAATGGAACGAGATGATGTGAAGCAAAAAATGCTCCACTGTTAAATGGCATCGTATTGATATTACATTTTCCAGAAGATCCAACAAACTTACCCAAAGCTGAGATCATGACGAAGCTAAACACCACATTGATGCGCCACTTCATTTTGTATTCGTTGTAGTATCGATAAGGCACCTTAAGAAAGAGCTCATCAACACGCTGCCAGCTGCTCATTATTTTTGGCCAACTGATGGCCAATCGCCAGAAAAATATATGCATCAAAAGGCATACAACAAAGACCAACAGGACGTATGCATTTTGAAAAGTTATAGCCACTTTGCTCACATAATTCAACGCGACTCCGAATTCACAGACAATTAAAACCATTATAAAGCCCGAGTAGAAGGTGCGGGCACTAAGCCAACGAAAACGCAGATCCTGCACATGACGAGCTTCCATATTACTTACGGGAAACAATGCAAAGATTTGGGAAATGAAAAGCACTGTAAATAGGTATAAATTAGAGGGATATGCGTATGAGAAAAACATGTATTTATATAATTAATTCGTAAATTGTTAACGGTATCATGGGACTAAGCAAAATAAATGACTGTATAAAATGTATTATAAGGGGATATTATTGAGCCAAAAATGGTCGAACTGACTATCAGGACTAAAGGAAAAACAATTTTTCACTCATGAATCTGTCTAAGGCTATAATTTTGCTCAAGGCTCAAGAAAGTGTTGTTCTTCTTTTACTCGAATTTTTTTTGGAAATAGCGAAATCGATGTAGACATATCTGTCCGTCTGAATGAACGCCCGGATTTCGGAAACGGTTGATCGCACATTTTCCAAGCTTGGAATATAGATGTCTCTAAGTTCCTAATTTTACCAATACTGTATACATTAAAAAAGCTACATAAAGAGACCTTTCTATGCAATTATCTACTTTTGTTTTAAATTTCATCCAAATCGGTGAAATCTAAGAAGAGTTATTAGTGAATCAACTTCACTCCAGTAATACGCTCGCAAACTGCAGCATCGATTCGTCATCAGTTCGATCTTCTTCTTCTTTTTTTTAGGAGAAGCGTATATAGCTCGGTACCGGAAGTTTGTATGGGTACAGGGTATTTTACTTCCGGGCTTGCTCGACTGTAGTGTTCTCTCTTGTTATTATTGGTTACTGATATTTTTATGATCCGTATACCCTAACTCTACTGCTTACTCTTGACCCCTTTCTTCCCACCTTATTTAGCTCACCTTTGGACACAGCGCGATGAAATGTTTCACTCTGTGGCATGTTGAACGCGGACTGGTTTCTTTGACTATGTGTTCTGCAGGACATGCTGACATGCCGTATGCCTAATTAAGAGGAGTGTACAACAGTACTGTGTTTGCAATTTAGTGTATAGTATGTACATATATGTTTACTCGTCAAGCAAGCTGACAAGGGCGTCAGTTCTTTGACGCGATTAGGATCATCGAATTGCAGAGAACAGGGGTATATTTAAAAGAAATAGACCAGGCACGACTGGAGATGCGATGATATTGTTTATGGATGAAAGCAATATAATACCAGATAAATGGTGAAAGTTGATTCGGCAGTAGGAAAAGAATGTTTGTACCCTGTATCCGAAGGGTATATTGAGTTTATTAGGCTTGTACAAAGTATACCAGAGGCAGAAGAATCTCCGACTTGCGATTTCGGAAGCGACTAGGCAAACCCTGACCAAACTTGGTATGTAGACTCTCCATGTTTCGAGACAACACGTATTTAATTTATTTTTTTGGTTTTGCAATGTGGCAGAATTAGCATTAAGTATTCTTTTTTAAGACTGCCACAAGCTCCTGTAATGTGTTGAATCTCCTTTAGTTTCTTTAGGTTATCGAACCTTTTTTTTATTGAAACTAATTTTTCTTTCGTGTAGAATTCCAATTTTTATTTAGGAACTTATTTGTTTGAACAATATGTACTATGAAATCGCTAAAACCTAAAATACTTAAGTATTATTTAGTAACAAATATTTTAATATTCTGTCCCAATTTTACTCACTGGGCCCAATGGCGTACTGCAGCGTATTTATGTTACTACTTGGCGGCTTCATACTTGTGTGTGACACACAAATGACACTAAGGCCGACAGAATTTTTATGTGATTGTAATCTTGTTGGGTGTGGGTTCCGACAAATTTGAACAACAAATAGTATGACGTGCATTTTTCATTGTATTTATAATAGATACAAATCTGAGCATTAAAGGTTTCTGCGCTTCTACGTGCATTGAGCTGTCATTTCATTAATTTCAATTAGTTATCCTTACAATAACTTGTCCTTTGTCGGATGGCGCCCTTATTAATTACATCGGATATCATAAGTTCGTAAGTTATTATGGTTGTGGCCATCTGCAAAGTATAGAAGATGATGGTTTTTAAGCGAAGATGATGTTTGGCAGTATAGTTACGGCCAAAAAAAGCTGACGCCTAATAAAGAAAAAGCCTTCGCCCGATAAAGCCGTCATGTCGTTGCCCAGTTGCTCGCTAAAGCGTTGAACCTGAAAGAGAATATTTATAAAAATTGGAGTGTTCTAAATTTTGCGAAAGGTATAATGATTCTCTAAAATCTCTCACGTAGCTACTGATATCATAAAACTTAATACTTATTTTAGTTGAGGTTATGATCTCAAAGAAGAAAAAGATTTGAATAGGTTCTTCTTGTAGCAACATATAAGTTCAAATTATACCTCTAACCTTTTGATATATATCTGTATTCAAAAAACTTTATACCATACCTCAATAGACCATGATCTGGACGGCACATCCCGCAATGCTGTACTTATTTTCTTTTCAAAAACATTAATGGACGAGGCAATGAAAATAGTAAGCATGGTACGCAAAACAGCAAAAGTCAACGAATACCAGAAGGCCAGCACCACAATAAAGTCAACACCAATGTTTCTAGTCGTAAAACATAAAACGAATTATGGTATAGTCTTTATAAAGGTCTGCAAAGCAACTCACGAAAAACTGTTGAAGAGCTGAAAGCATATAAAGAACATGTTGTTTCCAAATGCGAGCAGCACCAGGGGAGCAATGGCTGCATTCACAAGCCGCACCAGACGCTTAAGCTCCAAATAATGTTGACGAACCTCGGTCCAAAATATAGCAGGCATGGCTTTCAAGTGAACGGCAGCAATGCGGCTATGAAGCTGGTGGAACCGCTTAGCCAGGCCGATGCCCACAAACATGATGAAGCAGTCCGTGAAGGATCGTGGATAGGCAATGGTCAAGTTGAGCCACTACAGGGATAATGGAATAAAGAAAATAAATATCATAGTTTCCCTCGAAATTCCCACAACACACCTCAAAGAGAGGCAGCAGCCAGGCATGATAGGGCAGAATCATAAATAAATGTGGTCTTTCCCATTTGTAGATGCTCTCGAAGAAGCTCTCATTAATCTTGCACTGCGTTCGCTCCAAGTCGCTCAAATGGAATGAAATGATTAGCAGCAAAAAATGCTCCACTGTTAAACGGAATAGTATTTATATTACATTTTCCAGAAGATCCAACAGACTTACCCAAAGCTGAGATCATGACGAAGCTAAACACCACATTGATGCGCCACTTCATTTTGTATTCGTTGTAGTATCGATAAGGCACCTTAAGAAAGAGCTCATCAACACGCTGCCAGCTGCTCATTATTTTTGGCCAACTGATGGCCAATCGCCAGAAAAATATATGCTCCAACAAGCATACAACAAAAAGCGATAGCAAGCTTGAATTATGAAAAGTTATAGCCACGTTGTTTACATAATTCAACACGGTACCGAATTCACACAGATTTAGAGCCAATATCAAGCCCGAGTAGAAGGTGCGGGCACTAAGCCAGCGATAGCGCAGATCTTGCACATGACGAGCTCCCACATTACTTACGGGAAACAATGCAAAGATTTGGGAAATGAAAAGCACTGTAAAAAGATGGTAAGGTACATATCAGATATAGACGTATATACTTGTAATTTATTTTTTCGTTTTGTGGTGTGTACAACTTTAAGGGCGCTTGCCTAAGCTTTGCCATCAGCACTTATTAAATTTTCAAGTTGGTATTCAATAATTCCTTCTGCACAAAACATTGTTTAATTTTTATTATTAATTGGCGATGTTTTTTTCTGTATACCCTAACTCAACTGCTTCCTCTAGAGCCCTTTTTTCCCACCCCATTTAGCTCACCTTTGGAAACAGCGCGATGAAACGTTTCGCTCTGTGGCATGTTGAAATGGGACTGTCGGCTTAGACTAAGTGCTCTGCAGGACATGCTGACTGCCGTATGTCTAATTAAACGAAGCGTACAACAGTGTGTGTGAGTGTGTTTATTATTGTGGGTTTGCAATTTAGTTTCACGTGTTTACGTCGATTTAAACCTAATCTACGTGCGAGCTTGTCAAGCCACTTGACAAGCAGGACAAATTGTTGGCGGCCGCCTTTCTAATCGCACAAGGACGTTAGTCCTTTGGCGCGATTAGGTTCATCGAATTGCAAAAGAACAAGCTCATAGGTGACAATGGTGCCTGCCATCTGCAAAATCAAATATTACACAAAGAACAGCGGTTAATATTTACAAGAAACAGACTTACGCCAAAGAGTAGGCGGCGGGTGAGGAAATAGAATTTCATGCCCGACAATGCCACCGTTTGGGTGGACATTTGAAAGATTAAGCGTTCAATCTCGACGCACCAGGCACGACTTGAGACGCGACGAAGGACCCCCAACGCACCCTTGGACTCATCATTAATCGTTGCCGCAGTGAGAAAAACAAACGCCGTACGTCCAACCAGATAGAGTAGGGAGTACCAGAAGTATATGTAGTTGATGGGCCAGCGTAATTGGCTGCAAAAATGTTAAATGATCAGGATGAGGACAACTGTATATTATATATAGAGCACTCACTTGAATATGTTCAGTAACTGAAAGCAAACAAAGTACAAATTGTTCATGGACGATAGCAATATAATGCCCGATAAATGATCGTCTACGTTCTCGAGCAACTCGCACATATTTACATAATGCTCACGAATTTCCAGGAAAGTGGATTCAGGCACACTCTCCTCCAGCTCTAGCTTGCTAATACGCGCCGTAATCTGTTCAAAACGATAGGCAATCCCTTTGCTGATCATCATGATGAATAGATCCATGTAGTTCCAAATAAAAGTGCAAGTGACATTGACCAACTATGATGATTATTAAACAAGAGAGAACGCTTCAGTCGAGCAAGCCCGACAGTGAAATACCCTGTACCCAGGTAAGCTTCCGGCACTGAGGTATATGCGCCTCTAGCAGAAGCAAAAGGAAGAAGAAGAGCGAACTTGATGCTGCAGTTTGTGGGCGTAGTATCGTAGTGAAATTGTTTCGCTAATAACTTTTCTTAGAACCAACCGATTTAGATGAAACAGTAGTAGAAATAGTAGATAATTATATAGAAATTATGTGTACAAAGTTTGGTTAGGGTAGCTTCTGAAATGTGGACGCTATTGGCGAAATTCTGTAGCGGGGGAAAGGGGGGAAAATTCCAAAAAATAAAATAAACTCGTCCTTTCTCGGACCTAGGAGAATCTGGATACCAACTTTGGTTACTCTAGCTTTTATAGTTTCTGAGATCCTTGAGGACAGACGGACGGACAGAGGGACGGACGGACGGACGGACGGACGGACGGACGGACGGACGGACGGACGGACGGACGGACATGTCTAGATCGATTTCTCTCGTCATGCTGATTCAGAATATATATTCTTTATGGGGTCGGAGACGCTTCCTTCTGCATGTTACATACTTTGCACAAACCTAATATACCCTTTTTACCCTACGGGTACAGGGTATAAAAAATACAGCAAAAAATATGAGAATAGGACAGAGCTTACCAGTATGTAGGCTCCTATGAACGGACTATAGGGTAATATCTGAAATACATAATCATAGTTCTGTTTTATGTAATTCTCAAAGGATACGACAGCGGTGGTATTATGCTTTGGCGAACAGATCTCAATGCGACGCTTAAAGCTTAAAACCGCAGAGATCAAGTAGAAGGCGTGTTCTCCTACAAAACGCATTATTATATCTTATATTTATTTAGGGTCTGTCTGCTCAGACTTACCCAGCGATAGTGCGATGATTATAATAGCGGAGAGTTGCACGCGTTGCGACAAATTGCGTTTGGGAATATCGTAGGGTATCTGAGTAAATGGCAACTCTGTACGGGTCCAAAAGCGTATCAGACGGGGCCAACGATGGGCCAAGACTATGAATAGAACGCAGGCAACTTGAACGCAGCCAAAGAAAATCAGGCCAACTGAAATGTAGTTAAATGATTAAAATGGTATACCATATGAACTTATATGTGCCCTAAACGAGTAACTGGAGTTCAACCTTTCATCGCTAGGTATATCACAGTTAAGAAGATAAGTAATGACAATTTGTGGATCATCAATGATTTTTTATACTTCTCTAATACACACGTTCAGGATTGTTTTGAATATCTTGGACTTAAATAATTCGGGAATTGTTTTAATCTGCATACTATTTAAAAAGTTCGCAAATCCGAAATATTTTGAAATGTAAACCTTTGAGAATCCACCTATTTAGAGAACTAATAGACAAAGTTTGCAAACTTGAATTTCCACAAATGATTCAACTTTTTAATCATTTATGCATATATAGATAGATATATGACTCAATCGTAATACTTAACAATTTTCATTAGAAAACCAAACAAATTTTGATTACACACGTCTTTTCAAGAATGAATGAAGAATTATTATTAATGTTTAATTCTGGAATGAACATTTTAAAAACTTAGAACAAAACATAAAATTGATTGAAAGTTCAGTTGTGTATGTCTATTTCCTGTTTTGTCTTAAATACTGAATCCTCCACGATTTATAAATACTTGTATGATTTTGCTACCGAACATCATTAAAAACTCAAGAAAGCATACATTAAAAATGTAATAAGATGCCAAAAAGGAAATATGAAAGCACAAAACTTAAGTTCTTTCAGGTTCAAAAGTATAATAAAAAAGCGAATCCAGTAGCTAATGGATGAATTATTTATAAAAAGAATCGATGTAATTTCAATTATCCGAGCATTGCAAATTGAACAATATTAAGAGAATGTTTGGGGATTGGTGGCAAATAAATGAATTTTTAAAAGCTTTCAAGGAAAATATATGTTGTTTTAAATTTCCAAAACCACCGTTTTTATTCAACTATCAAAGTTACGAATATATTAAATACTTGTATTGATTTACTTATAGTTTTTTATCAGCATATGAGTTTTATTCTGTTTATGATTAAAAGCAAATGAACACACGACTACGGTACTTACCAAAATTCTTGGCATTTACGCCTATTTTCAGCAAATGCTTCAGTGTAGATAGGGACAATATGGAGCTGGCGATCAGGAATGTAAGGGTGCACAGCATTTGCAAAGACCGGACGGCGAAACGTATCCGACGCGGATTGGCCTGCCGAACGTTCCTTAATGGCATTACGGCAAAGCATTGCGCCAACAGCATGACTAAGAAAAGCAATTCAATCAACAATTGCTCTGATTGTCAATCACCAAACTATTCAACTTACTCGGACAGACAGCACGATGAAATGTGTCCAAGTTGGCGTAGTCTGGTTGCGCTTTTGTCTTTATAACATTGAAATCGAAGGTTTCCCCATCCAATGTCTTGGGCGTTAAGTATTCTGGCATCTGAACATCATGAACTGCATATTCAGCCTCAGCCTCAGATTCGCTCTTCATACCGACTGCATTTTGCACCGGCAGATGTTTCAGTTCCAACACGCTAGCCCTCTTGCTGAGAAGCCGACGCAGTTTCAGGTTCTGACTATGCATATTGGCGGACGATTGTCGACTGAGCGCCTGCAAGTATGCAGCTCCAATTTTAAATGCGCACTGTCATGCGAATTATGGAGTTCAGCTGGCCACACTGCAACCGCAAATTATACGTTATTGCAAACATGGGGCGTGCTTCACACAAACACACAAATGGCCCTCATAAACAATAATTATGAGACATGTGGATGCCACTTGAAAGTGTGCGACAGTTGAGTGCAACATGTTCTCCATTTCGGCCAGAAAGTTCTTTCGACGTGATGCCAACATTCTGCGCAGATTAAAAGCCCGCCGGCAAACTCAACGCAAACGCTGGGCAACAAGAGTACGCTTCGCCAAGGGGGACAGAGATCTGGAGCACTTGGATACATTCCATCGAGCGATTCGGCCATGTGAGTTAAATTTTTGCGGGTCTGGAATGGTCTTTTAAAATATATTATTAACAAAGAAAGAAGTATTCTTAGTTTGTAGTTCCTTGAACGTTTTGCAGTACATGGCAGAAATCTCAGTGCGATCCAAAGAAACATTCATCGGTACTTTTCCACTTGAAATTATTCTTGTCAGGCTTCAGTGAATTTTTCCAATTACCCGCCAATTGATTTGAACTCAGCTTGATTCGATCCGATACAGTTAGCGAGAGGGTTGTAATCGACTTTTTCCATTCAAAATCCTTCACATCTGTGCCTGGAATACCAGCGTGGTCTGGTACATAGTGTTTGATCGAATTATTGGAAGCCTCCAACTTATTTTGGGTTTTAAAGCATTTCTGCAGAATTAGCTTGCCATGGCCTCGTAATAATACTTTTTTACAAAGCTAAGCTTCTTTTTTTGTGGAGTACAACCTATTAAAGTCTATGAAATGATTGTGTTTTGCATCAGTTATTCGAGATATTGTAACCTAGGCTAGCAATATGTTACAATTAATATGTAATATTATGAGGTTCGAAACCAAAGTAAGGAATGTAGGGTTGGGGTTTTGGAGTTATATTAATAAATTTTATTAATTGTATTTTCTTTATGGCGCCATAACAACGTTATAATGAAGGCTTCTAAGCTAAGAAAGCCTAAATAGGAACAATTTAATCGAATTACAATAATTGTTAATATATGCCACCGACTCGATAATGGGAATTTTATTTGCCAATCGGCCAGCTATGCCCCGAATCACAGTCCATTGTAGTCAGAGAAGTTCACAGATCTGTGAGCAAAAATTAAGAAATAAACATTAAAATTTTAAATATAATAAAATATAATATTATAATATAATATTAAAATAAAAATAAAATAAATAAATTTAAAACTTATAAGAGAAGAGAAACTTCTATTAATTAAATTAAATTAAAAGTACATTAAAAAATGGGGGAAAAAAATGAATAAAAGGAATATCTGACCCGGTGGGGAAGATTTATAAGCCAGTCCGGTAAGCTATGGCCCGTCTAACAACCGTGTGAGGTCTGACATTCCGAAAATAGCTGAAAAGAGAGGCTTTTTGAAAGGAAAGAAATATTTCCGTTGATATAAGCATAAAAAAGAGAAAGGACTGTGCAATACAAAATCACTTGTACACCTACCAAGATAGAGAGGAAGTTAATTTCTTGTAAGTAGTTCTGCAAGGAACTGAGAAATTAAGACGCCTTAGAAGACGTCTTAGAGTAGAAGAGTATTAATAACTAATAATAATAAAGAAAAGGCAAGTGAATATTTTGAATGGAACCCCTCAATCAACTACTTATTAATTATTCCACAGATCTATGCCTGGCACAGGTATTTGGTCTCATGCCTCTGGCTAATATCCGCAGCAGCGATCCCCAGGTATTACAATTTCGAGTCTGCTCCGCTGGCTTCTTCTGTACTGCTTTGTTTCTACTGCTGGGCAGTTTTAAGACGTGGCACGTGGCCATGTCACTTTTTGAGGTGGGATTCACAGCCAAGAACATGGGTAAGCTCGATTGTGGACCTATCTAATAGATTGCCTTATTGTGGCCTCTTAGTGGTGCTTATTTTCTTTACCAGCAACATGATTACTTGTCTGAATTTCGTAAGTTTTGCGCGTCGCTGGACACGCATTATTGTGCCCTGGACCTGTTTGGATATCATGATGTTATTTCCACCCTATGTGCAGTCGAAATATACTCTGCGCTATAAGTTACGTATATTGGGATTCTGCCTGGGCTGCCTAGCGTTAGGTAAGCCTGCTTCAACTGATTTGGAGAGCAATATAGAGATTATTTGTTATTTATTGTAGTGGAGCATTGTCTCTTTTACGCCTCAAGATATTACAACTATCGAATGCATATCCTGCACTGTCGACCCATTGGGACACAAGCCAGCTTTGACTCTTTTATGCATACTGAATTTGGGGATATCTTTGGAGTTGTGCACTTCAAAATTTTCTATGTCTTGTTCACGTTGGTGGGTACAAAAATCTAACCACGAATAAATAATATATACTCTGCTTGACTTTCAGATATTCACTGGATGTTTCAATTTCATATGGAACTTTATGGATCTGTTCATTATGATGATAAGCTTAGGACTGGCGCAACGTTTCCAACAATTTGGAGCAAGAGTTTCAGCTCTGATGGGTCGTGTATGTTGATCTTTTAATAACCTGTAGCTAGAGCTACCAAGCTTTTCATTAGTCTTTTCCCAGCCATACGCAGGCAAAGCTTATCTAAAGCATATATATCAGTTCAGAAATAGCTCTTGTATCAGGTTGTAATGCTTATATTGGAGTAATTTAGTATTTGTTTAGTTAGATTGGTAAGGAAAGCCCTTATAATTACTCATCAATGATTCAAGGCTAATGTACATTTGGCTACAAAATGGATATCGCTGTTGGTTATAAATGAAAGTGGCTGGAAACACAACTATAAGTAGCTACAAAACTGGCTAGAAATTTCTCTAAAAATGATTAGAATCCACGCTACAAAATCCGCTATAAAAAGCAACAAATTCCGCTAAAAAAGGCTATAAATGATTAGAAACCCAGTTTAAAATTGGTCGAATGTGCTACAAATTTATACAAAACTTCTATAAATATATAGAAAAAGGATAAAAAATCCGCAATAAAATCCACTAGAAAATCCAGTAAAAATTGAACGAAAAACCGATCGAATAAGACTAAAAATTTGATAGAAAAACTTGGATTTCAAGAGCGTCAAAAAATCAGTTCTATTGCTATTAAAGATAGCGACTTTAGAAAATCAAGACCTACCTATCAGGTGGGCATAAATCCATTCAAATCAGTGTCCTTATAACACATAGCTCTAAAAGGAACGAGCACTGCTAAAATCATTCCCCTATTTTGTAATGCTGTCATGGAAGAGATTGGTACTGAAACTTTATTTTATTTGAAGGACTGTCAATGATCAAAGATCAATTCTATTCGTTCTACTCCTTTTTTTACTTCAAGTATGTGCCGGATGCCTTGTGGTCTGATATACGACAAGATCATATAAGACTGTGCGAACTAATAGAACTGGTGGATAATAACCTTGCCAATATAATACTCGTATCCTGTCTGAATAATATGTACTTTATTTGCAATCAACTGCTCAGCATATTCACGTGAGTGATCAGCACCTTGCCATTGATGGACAGGGATATTTAATCATAACTTTCAATCTTTTGTAGGAAGCTACGCTATCCTATCAACTACATATACTTCTGGTATTCCCTGCTCTTTCTATTGGGACGCACCACCAGCGTCTTTCTGTGTGCCTCCCGCATACACGACGCCTCGTTGTTGCCCCTACAAGCGGTTCACATGGTGCCCAGTGAGTATTGGACGGAGGAGGTGCAACGTTTCATGCAGCAGTTGAGCAGCGAGTTCGTCGGTCTATCCGGACACCGTCTCTTCTATTTGACGCGCAGAAGTTTCTTTGGCGTGAGTTGACTTCAAAATGCATTAATTGAAACGATATAATACTATATAACTTATTATTTCTGTTTTTAACACCTGCCCCCACCAAGCTCATGGCCACACTGATTACCTATGAGTTCATGTTGCTGCAGTTGGATGCGAAGAATCGTAAAATGGCGCTGCCCGACCTGTGCGCCTGAAATGTAAAACGTTTTGAGAGAAGTTTCCAATAAAGGGTTTACAACTGTGGCATAATTGGCCTTTAAATATTATTTCAATGTTTGTGCCCGCTGACAAGTGTGATTGTTCACAGAGCCCCAAAAAACCGAAAAGCATCCACAAGAGGGCAACCGAAGTCGTTTACTATTAGTTTCAATTAATTTTACATATGTACGCAAACTAACGAGCTGTCATGGATATAGATATGGCTATATGGTAGCACCTTCCTTACATGCTCGTATAAGCGTCCAGATAGCGAGCAGTGAACATTTTTGAAAGCCTTTTCAATTTTTGTTTTAACTGACACTTTGCCAATTAACACTTTCCTGGTTACCTGCCATTGTTTGTGGCGCAACCCGACTCTCATACTCGGGCTTTAGTTGCAGCGCATTGCCACTCGCAATTATCCTGTCAAAACTTTCCAACACCTATGCAGCGACTAAAGCCGAAGGCAGGGACCAAAACAAAATGCCAACAAAAACAAACAGCCAGAGAAAAACTTTATACTCCATACATACATACGCTCGTTGAATTGCAACCCCGATCCTGACATTGGCATACGCTAGATTGTGGCACGCTTCCGGCATAGTCGCTGCACGTGAGAAGGACCAGCACCAGCACCACCACCACCACCACCACCATCCTCCAATGCCAACACCAACACCAACACCAACGCCAGCTCCTCCCGAAGCCGAACAACTTTGTTTTGCTTCAGCTGTCATGGCAACGCTTGCTCAAACAAAACTCAAAAAGGAGCATTTTGCGTTATGGAAAATTAGAATTTTCACGACGAACCCGTTCAGAACGAGGCGAACAGCGAGACCGTACGGATTTGGAGCCTGAAGAACGGAAGCGCCGTTTTGTTGACATGTCAGTATGGAAATGCCGGAGACTGTATCTGTGCGCAAATTTCGTGAGTTCGGAGCGCGCCAGAAGCAGGAACTGTACGAAACATTATTGGAATTGGCTGAGAGCATTGACGAGTTGCCCAAAAAATCGTTGCGCAAGACACTGGAGCTGACATTGGCCGTATTGGCGTACAAGGGTGCACAGGTCGACGAATTACAAAACAAATTGCCCCTGGGAGGGGCTTCAGAGCGACGCGGCTCCGAGCGACGCTTGTACGATGAAAATGAGAAGCTAAAGCGCATGTTGCAAAAGCTCGAGGAGGAACGTGATGGCTACAAGGAGAAGATCAAGGAGGTAGGTAGAGAGCAGTATTCGAATACTTATACTTACATATATCACAAATTTAAAGTTGGCCGATGAAATATTGCAATTGCAAAAACGTTTACAAGAGGCAGAACAGCAGGCTGAGGCCAGCGACAAGGACTCTTCAGACCCGCTCTCCGAGCTCGAGAAACACGAGAAACTGCTGCAGAACATAGACACTAAAAACAAGCACATCAAGCGATTGCTGCGCGAGATTGAGGTAAGTGTGTGTGCTGCCTTAGAGTTTCACTCCGTCTCTAATACCTTTAACTACACCCCCTTAGACGCTACAAAATCAAAACATTGCGCAATCCAAAACAATAGTTTTGCACGAACAAGAATTGCAGCACATCAAGACCAATCTCATACAGCTGAGTCAGGACATAACCCAAGTGGAGCAGGAGCGCAAGAAGCTGAAACAGAGAGAGCGGGAGCAAGGTTTGGAAATTACAAGACTTGAGGGCAACATTACTTTTCTCGAAGATGAGCGCGAGAAGCAGGAGCTGGAAATGCGTCAGTTCATAGAGAAATACGAGTCGAAATCGCTGAGCTGGAATCAGCTGCTGGAGCAGAAAGAGAAGCAGCTGAAAAGTTTACAGTCCCAGCTCGATAAGGCAACGGGTATATCGTCTGTGCTGCCCGCAATTCACAGCGACAGCACCAGCAGCATTCAAAGCAACGAAGAGGAGCAGACGAAGCTGCGTCATGTGAGCGAGAAAGATCCTTAAAATATCCTCCAATTTTACTTACACATTTCCCCTCCCTAGCTGCTGGAGTTACGCGAACAGCGCATTGAAACCCTAGAGGCCAAGGTCAAAACAATGGCCGATGAAATGGTGAGCTCCACCAAGGTAATGAATCGAATGTGTGCCGAACGCGAACGCTGTCAGGATCCCGCCCAGCCCCGTGCCTGTTGCAAACTCATCGAGGAGAGTCTGCGCGTCGCCAATGCACGCAGCCAGCAGTTATCCGAGCTACTTGAATCCACTGAACAGGACAATGTACTTAAATCCAAGCAAGCCCTACATGCCATCAATGCTCTAGAGGCGTACAAACGTGGTGAGGACGGTTTGGTGCCCGCATTACGCAAATGCTCGGCGCTGGAGCAGAAGCTTGCTGAGCAGAATAAGCAGCTGCGTAGTTATGTCCACGAACTGAATGCCATGCACGAGCTGGCTCAAGAGAATAGTCTGTTGCGACGCAGACTCAACATACCCGATGATGTGGTTGTGCTGGTTAAGAATTCACGAGCCAAGGAGCGCAACAAGGACAAACTGATTGAGCGTCTAACACTGAAGCTGCGCACCTCTGAGGAGTTGCGTCTACAGCTGAAGCTGGACAAAAGCGAGTTGAGGTGAGTGGCCACGAGGGTAAGAGAGGCTAAAAGAGAGTATGTTGTTACCATCTACCATCCTTCCTGCAGACGCAAGTTACTGGAGCTGCAGCAACAGTTGCGACTACCCAAGAGTCCGGAGAGTTCCATACTAGTGCCCATAGAGCCTGCGAAGCAACCTAGCGAGATGGGTGAAGTGCCGTCGAGTGCGCCGCTGCTTAGCCCATTATGCAATGGTGTGCCTAGCCGGGGTCAAGGCGATGGCGCTGCTGCGTCTGAACTGCAAACTAAATACGAGGAAGTACTGGCGGAAAACGAATCTTTGCGTGTGGGCATGTATGAGATACTGGAGAAGCTGCGCGAATATGATGGTAAGTCCCTAATATCTCATACCCCCAATGGAGCTAATCACATGTCCACAGCCACCTCTGAGCATATAACCATTGATTCGGAACTACTGCGACGTCTAATGGATATGCTGCCCAGCATTGATACCACACCCAAGCGGCTGCACAGCGAATTGCTTGCTCTGAAAGCGCGCGAGGAGGCACTGCGTCAGCTGTTGCAGCAAAACGGCAGCGATTCCGAAACCGGCGAACTGTCTTCGGTGCATAGCATGCGAGATGTGCCCGAAATGCCCCGAGAGGACGAGCCAGAATCGAGTGAAGAAATTATTATTATTGACACGGCCACACGTCCGACCACACCAAACGAATCTGCCGATATCCTGCAATTGCCTGTTATAGCACAAGAGGAGCAGGAACAGGAGGAAGAGGAGGCGGTAGGCAGCACACAAGTGCGGGAACTGCAACAACAGTTGACGGAGCTCCACACCTATCGTAAGCACTACGAAGAGCTGAAGCTACACATGGCCGCCGATGGTAATGAGCTGAAGCGTTACAACCAGCAGCTACATGAAAAGACGATCGCTTTGGAGCTCCGCCTGCATCAGCAAAACAATTCCTACGAGTTTATGCGCGAGGACTACGACCGGTTGCTGCATCAGATGAAGCAGCATGAGTTGCGATATATAAACGATACTGCGGCACTTTCGCGACAACTGGAAGAGCGAAACACCCAGCTACAGGCTCTGCAGGCTGAGCTCGAGTTGCAGCAACGAGTGCGACTCTACAGCAGCGAAGAAGTGCAGAGGTTGGAGCAAAAGAATTCCACATTAAGCATGCAGCTGGCGCACTGCCTAGAGGAGGTATTGGGAGGCAGAGTTAATACATTAAAGTTGCCCGAAATATGCGCAGATTATGGCATTATAGGCGACAACTATCAACTGGACTACATCACGGCTGCGGAGTATGAGGAGCAGCTCGCTATTCTCGCCACATGGCGCGAGAAACAGGCGGAGCTGCAGCGACAAAATAAACAGCTTGAGGGTCTCCTAGAAGTGGCCAACGGACAGGTAAGTGGTGGAAAAGCATTTTAATAAAAAATACATTATCTCTTATCATCTAACTAGATACAATCCCAGCAAAAATTGCTCAATGAGATTACAGATAATCACATAAGCCTTCGTCATCTGGTGGCTGATTTGCAAAGTAGCTCCGAGGAGAAGCTACTTGTGGCTAAAATGCAACGGGATTTGGACAGTGGTAGGAAGGATTACGTTCCTAAGGAATCTTATTGCTTAACAACTCTATTTTTAGCCAAAATGGAATTGACGCGCATTGAAACTGAACGCAATGAGCTGAGACTAAGCGTAGATAGTCTGCAGGAGCAGCTTCTCAAAGCACAAAGACTGACTGCCGAAGCGCAACAGGACTTCCAAATTGAACGCAGAAACAGAGATATTAAGCACAAGTAAGCACAGTAATACAAGTGTTGTATGCGCATTACTAAGTTAAATTTGTGCCGCAGATTTTTACAGAAATCACTTTTCACACTGAAGGAGAAATATGCCAAATTTACACCGTTAATCTTCCTGACCAACTTCGTGTTCGCCTACAACAAATTCATGCAACGTGTGGAACAGCAAGGGAACAACTTTTCGCTAACCAATGAACAATTGGAGCAAGTAGAAAAGGCTGTAGAATCACAGTTAGCAGCTAACGCCTCGACTAATAACGAGGACTCCCAACAGCTCATCAAACTGATCAAAGCAGAGACGCAGGTTAGGCTGTTGGAACAAAGCTGTGAGAGTCTGCAACTGAAGAACGCTGAGCTGCAACGAGAACTGGTAGAGTTGCGGCTACGACATGCCACAGAGTCAGAGCACTGGCAGACAATCGAAGCGCTCTTCGGAGTGACTCATGAACATGGCATTGGATCTGAGGTCAGACATATAGCTACAAATACAGAGATGCAGGTGCCAGATCCAGCCGTCCGCAGAACTGCCGCACAGCAGTTAACCGACCGGCAAACCTCACCCATCAGCTCGCCAAATAAGAAAGCTGAGCACATAAGCACACAGACCACAATTGATAAACCGCTGGAGTTACTAGAAACGGCCGTGCAAACCAATCGCCTTCAATCATTGCAACATCAAGCGGTGCAAACGGCTGCGATCGAGGAGGCCGAGCAGCGTTCAGAGTCTAAAGCGGAGGTGCAGGAAATACAAACCGCGTAAGTACAATAGTAAGCTGATACTTCTAAAGGGCTTAGCTACTCCTCTATTTTTATCTAGTCTACTGGCTGCCCAGAAGCGTATTGAGGAGCTACAAAGTCAATTGAAGTCCGATCAGGTTTCCAAGACTGATGAGAGTGCGAATACTTCGGGGACAACAGAGACCAGCACAGTAGACACCCACCAAAGTGGGGTTGTGGAGAAAACCATTCTGTCTTTCCACACGCTTCTCTTGGAGAAGGATAATTCCATTCAAAAATATCAGGATCTGCTGCAAACAGAAAGGGAACAAAGTCAGCAACTTTCTAGCAAGCTAAATGCCGAGAACGAGACTCTCAAAGCAACTGTGAATAATTTGAACTTTAACATTAAGACCAAGGATGTGGAAATTCTGGAGCTAAAGGCCAAGCTGGATGTGCAAATTACAACGCGTCATCTGAAACCTAAAGATGGTCAGGAACATGTCACATCTACTGAGTCCGACGAGAGCGTCGATAATAGCCTCAACGAGTTGACTGACGAGAAAATCGAAGAAATGTTCGAGGATACTACATCTGTGGATAAACAGGAAGTGGTTACAGTTCCAGTCAGTCCCCGGAATGATGGGGAAAAGGAAAAACAGGATACGGAGGAGCTTAAAGAAGTTTCCACGCTGCACAAACAAATCAAGGAACTAAAGGAAAAATTGGTTTTCAACGAGCAGAGCATCAAAACGCGGGAGGAGGAAATAGAGATATTGAAAGAAAAGTAAGTCCCATAACACAATAATATTACTATTTACTTATGTGGCCTCTAATTCTAGACTAAAGATGTGCCAGGAACGTGAAAAAGCTATAGAGAGCACCAACAACCCTGAAGTTGAACAATTACGTGTCTTCCTGGAGGAGAAGGATAAGCACATAAAAGATCTCATGGAAACATTGAAGAACTTTCATGTGAGTAGAACGAGTAAGACTTCGGTTTCCACCCTATAACTATGTATAATTCCTTCCCTCCTCCAAACAGGATGATCAACAGCGTTATATTAACGACACTTCTAACTTTTCGGCCGAGCAAATTGCCAAGCTGGCCGCCGATCTTAATCGCACCGAGGCCACCAATAAAATATATCACACACAAATGGAGGCATTGCGTCGCCAGGTGAGCAATCTAACCCAGCGTGAGAAGCAGGCCCGAGACCTTAGCCAGTCCCTGCGCAATCAATTAATCAAGCGGCCAGTGCTGTCCGTCAAAACTGAACAAAATGCTCGGGTTAAGAACGAAAATCTTCAGAAACGTGTGCAGCAATTGGAGTTGGATCTGGAGGATGCTCGTGCCCAGGTTCACCGTCAACAGATGCAGCTGGACGCCAAGCGTACACGAAGCGCCAACGAGGTGGGTCTGTGGGAGAAGCAAAAACGTTGGCAACAAAATGCCGAAAAGTATAAAGCCAAGTTAGACGAGACTGAGACGGCACTGGAGAAGACGCGCTCGTTGCTACGGGCGGCACGTACGACGATCGCACGACTAGAAAAAGACAAACATATGTTGGAGGTGAAACTGAATAGAGGTAAGAGGTGATTTAAACCTTACGATATTTCAAATATTTACGCATAATAGAGACAATAAGTGGAAGCTTTTGATACACTAGGACTGAGCTCTATATGGCGATAGTGATATATCTCCTCCTCCTTAATATAGAGCTCGGACTAATCGGTTTGGTTAGGGTGACCCCTGATATCCATAACAGTTTCTTTTGTTGTTTTGGAGGAATTTGTGCAAAGTTCCAAACGATAACACATTAGGGTAGTTAACCATTCCGTCTTTAACTCTTTAACGTCTTTAGAACTCTGACTTTACAGAATAGCCCTGAGGTGCTTGAGGGTTAGCTTTTCCGGCTTTTAAATAAATATAGGACTGATTGATTTATTAACTTTCTACTCCAGCAGGTCATACTGGTGGCGCCTCACAGAACACCCTGAAATGCTGTCGTACACCCTCGTGTCCCAATCTTCAGCATGTGGGCGCCAAGTTTACACCCTCTCCATCCGAGAGTCCCGAGACCTATACGGGTCCAAGCAGCGAGTGCAGTTCCCCGGCTCATAATGCGCAGCCTAATTCACGCTTTTACGATCAGAGCCAATTGGATTTGGTGGAGGCATTGAAGGCGCGTATTGAGTTGCAGCAAAGAAAAATTATTGCAATGGAGCTGGAGGGTCGTGGTTCGAATGCACTGACCACAGAGCTGGAGAAGTTGCAGGAACGTTATCAGGCCATTGAGGCGCAAAATATTCGGCTGGAGGCGCGTAATTTGCAGCTTCAGCTCGACACGGACTTGCTCCGACAAGGCGACACCAGCGAGAGACTGCAGAAACGCATCAAACACCTCGAAGAGTAATTAGCCCAAAAGGAGTGGATTTGTAGGACAACATCTAATGAATGGTTCGCTCTATTTTCAGCTACATAATGGCGCTCAAGGAGGAAATGGCGCGTACTGAGTCTCGTCGGGATCTTTGCAAGTGCAGCGGCATAAAAGTGAATACCCAACAGGGTCAGTCGGCTGAGCATACAATTCTTTCGCTGCGGAATCTGGTGGAGAAGCTGCGCTCAGAGAATAAGTTCCTCAAAGATGGACGACGCTCCACAGAGTCGCGCAGCTCCACCGATTCGTCAGCATCGGGATCGGCTCTGGAACTAGCACGAATTCAGCAGCTGCATGCAGAGGCTTTGGAGAAAATTAGCGCTCTACAGATGGAGTTGAATCAGCGGAACAAGTGTAGTCAGTGTAGTGGGCGTAGCAAGGTATATATCTACATATATGGAAAATTATAAAGATGAACTGTAATGCACTCTAAATTTTAGGATGCAACGAACGAGGAGCTAAAGTACATTAAGGAGCAACTTGTGAAGAAGACGCAGCTACTGCAAAAGGCAAAAGTTTTGCTGACGCGGGCCGCTGCAAAGGAGAAGGTGCTAAAGGAGCAATTAGCGTTATGGAAGCGCAAATGTTCGGAGCTGCAAAATGTGCCCGTCATTGATGAAATTAGCGAATAGGTGCAACTGGAGAGTTTACAAACCTAGAGATACCATTAAATAATGTAAATAAATAAGTAGAATAAATCGAGCTTGGTATACATTTATCTAAAGCGCATTCATTAACACCGATTTAGGTACGAAATTTTGATTTTAAAATTTGATTAATGATTAATTCTACTTTTATATAACTTTTCGAATATAGATTTTAAATAGTAATACATTTTATTGTTTAAAAACAGTTCATGAATTCGATCAGGAATTGTTGCTATAAGCAGTCAACAAATATTTTAATATAAGTTTTTTTTTGCAGTTGAGAATAAATAATTATTCACAAATCATTAGAAAAAGAGTTAATTAAATTAATTTCTTTTTAAAACAACAATAGAATATATGTATCTTTAAAGCAGAAACTATTTCTATTGTGTAAAATCTACGTTTTCTGCCAAAATAAAATTTGAAAATTTTCAAATTCGGGTGAAAATTAAAAACCGGGTTTTCAGTGTTGCCACATTGTGCAAAACTGGGAGAATCAACAGTCTGTCTCAGCTGTTCAATGTTTATGTGTAATACATACATTCATACACACTTCCAAAGTGCAACTTTTGTGTTGGCTGCGCTGATTAATCTAAATAACCATAACAATGAGCGTAGATTAGTTAATGTCGCTTGATTGTGAACTTTGACTAACAGCAGCACTTGCGATATTTTACAAAATGTCTTACCAAGGCTATCAGAAGCTGCTTGTGGAAAAGCAGGACAAAATAGTGGTTGTTAAATTTAATAATCCAGCGAAGAAGAATTGTCTTAATCTTCCAAGTTATGTGGAAATAACGCGAGTCTTACGAGAGGTTAACGAGGATGAGAGCGTGACGATTGTCGTGTTCACCGGCGTGGGGGATTATTTCACAGCCGGCAACGATTTGTCCCAAACTGGCGATGATGTCCAGGCTTATCTACAGAACTCCAATAGCATATTCAAGGATATGGTGCTTAGCTTTATCGACTGCAAGAAGCTGATCTTTTGCTTGGTAAACGGACCGGCTATTGGCATTGGAGCCACTATTGCGGGCCTAAGTGACGTGGCGTGGTGTACAGAGCAGGTGACGTGGAATTTAATTTTAATGTTCCCCCAAATTAACATAAAAAATGTATTTTTCAGGCTTACTTCCTAACCCCGTTTAGCAAGCTGGCTTTGGTGCCGGAAGGGTGTTCGTCTTACCTTCTGCCGCTAATTGTGGGGCGTTCGAAAGCCACAGAGCTGCTGTTACTAAACGAACCGCTTTCTGCGCGGGAGGCCTATCAGTTTGGTTTCGTCTCGCGCGTCTTTAAGCTCGATGAGCTGGACACTGTCGCCTGGCCCAAGATACGCATATATGCCGCTTTGCCGCCAAATTCCTTGCGCGAAAGCAAACGACTTATGCGCTTACACGAGCGCGAGAGTTTGCTTAGAGCGAATGAGGCTGAGGCCAAGGAGCTTTTAAATTGTACACAAAGCAGTGAATTCTTTGAGGCATTGATGAATTTTGCAATGCGTAAGAACAAGTCCAAGTTGTAAATATAAATTAAGGTCCAAACAGGACGTTTCAATCTCAAAATGCATTTCATGTGAAGTTGCCACATCGGTGGATTTATTATGGGTGTTGCCACTTCCTGTTTGTACGCAAACATTGCATGCGGCCATTTGGTCTTTTTTTAGTGCATTCTGTAACGCGTTTGAGTGTCACACTAACTTTCCACGAGTGAAGAAGTTTTTTCGTGAAATATAAAGAACAATAAACTTTTGTAAATGCAGTAAATTTCAGTAAATTATTGTGCTTGCAATAAACTACGTATTTTTATACAATTCTTTTCGTAAATGTGCGTGTGCGGTGGCCGTGTTCAGCTAAAAATTATTGTTAATTAGAGCAGCGCAAAGTGTACAAAAAAGTGTTGCTTGCAGAATCGTCGTGTCATTAAAAAAAGCTAAAGCTAGAGAACGAATCAAACACCCGCCGCCGCGGCAAGTGAAACACCACAATCATTGGCAGCCGCTGCAGCAGCTCCACTGTCCAGAGGCCGCCCGCACGCATAAAACATGAGAAGAGTTCTATAGGATTGTCGACGGTAAAGGTAAGTAAGTCAGCGGCTAATTTGCACATTTCTGGTATCTGCCTCAATACCCGTACATCCCATACCCACTGCCCTCCGCGTGCGCTCATCAAGTGCGTCAACGTGTTCTTCAATACTCGTTCGTAGCGGTCGCGGTCATTTCTGTCGCCATTGGACGTTGGAATCCAATGCGTGTACATTTACATACATACATAAAGACGTATGTACATACATACATATATGTATATAGATGTATGTACATATGTAAAGCAACACAGCTTTTCGAATTAACTCGACTTTATTTTGCTATTGGCTGGCTATACGATGCCGACATTCATTCCAACAAGCCAGCGTCTGGCTCTTTTAGCACGTCCAACCGTCCATTTGTCGATCCGTCTGTTTGCCGAGCCTGCCTGCTGCATTTAATTTTTTCCAGTTCAAGTATTTTCTAAGTTTTAGTTGTATTTGTAAGCGGCATTTGTTCGTGCAGGTGTGCGTGTGCCAACTGCTATATGGATGGACGTACATATGTATGTACGTGTATGAGTGTGTACGAGTGGTGCGTAATGTGTGGCAAATCGTCTTTTTCTACAGAATTCGTTTACATTTTAGTACGTAAATTATTGAGCCGGCTTTGCCGCGCTGTCCACACCTTCACAGACGCCATGGAATTTATGTTTATTTTGTTTAGGAATAATTTTCGGGCATTTGATTACGTTTCGTTGAGGTAGACTGCGGATCGGGTGGGTGTCAGGTGGGGTGCAACGGTACAGTATGGCAAATGTTTGAAGCACTCCTCTTTCTCGCTTTCTCTCGCTTGCGCGCTCTCTCTCTCTCTCTCTGTTTATTTGCTTTTTTTTTGCGGGGGACAGCTGTGCGGCGTTGCCAGATATTCATGCAATTATTCCGGCGGCGGCCTCAATATAACCTCAAATTCTTGTAGCTTTCTTATGTGGGGGTTTTCACAAATATTTTGTGTTCATTGCTTGCAGAATTCTTTCAATGTTCGACGTCTGCAGCAGCGTGTACGTGCTGTCTACTTCCTGAGATTTGTGCAGCAACGAGCTGAACAACGAGTGAAACTTGTTAGCCTGAACTGCTTTGTTGCTGCAAGTGACGAAAATTGCGCTTGGCAGGCGTTCAATTATGGCGCAGCAGCACCAACAGCCGCCGCAGCAACAGCAGCAGGCGGCAGCAGCAGTGGCAGTGGCGACAGCAACAACAACAGCGACACCGACAACAACTGTGCCAGCGAATGCAGCCCAGCAACAACACGTTGTAACGCCAACAACTACATCAACTTCAGCTAATGCCAGCAGCAATAACAATAATAATAACAACAACAGCGGTACCAGTAATAACAGCAACACCGTTTCACCACAAACACCCAGCAACAATAATAACAACAACAACAATGTGATGGCATCAGTGCAACAATTTACGCCCCCAGCTCAAGCAATTTACAACCAACCGCCGATCTTCATGCCCACCCATGGTGCACATCCGCACGCACACCATGGCGGCGGCTCCATGTACCCAACCATGATACCAGCGCCAATGCCCAGCAATGTTTACGTGAACAATGTCACTGCCAATGTCAATCTACATGGCTGGTCGCATTCTGTGCCAGCCTATATACCCACAGGCGGTGGACAGGCTCATTATGTAGCCACGCACGGTGAGCTACCGCCGGAGCAGGTAAACGAGTTATTATTATGCCTTACTCTTAGGCCAATTTATCTGATTTATTCGCATTTAATTCCAGGGTAATCCCATTATGCAACCGCTACAGCATATGCCACTTACTTTGGGTCCTGCTGGCGGTCACAATGGAAATCCGCATAACACTGGCATGGGTGGGCGCGGTCGTGGCCGTGGCCGAGGACGTAGCGGCGGTGGCTTGCGTCGCAATGATTACCATACACAACGCCACATGCAGAGCCAGAGCCAACAACAGCAACAACACCAGCAACAGCAAATGCCACCACCGCAGCCACTATCGGAGAGCGCCAGTCCAGCTCCAAATCTGCAGCAACTGCAGGCGGACCAAATGGGTCAGCAAATGGCACCACAACCCGACGCACAGCTACCAGTGCCATATGCGCACGCCTATGCTCCGCATCCCTACGCCTATGGCACCTATCCCGCTGCCTACTTTGCACCGCATCATGCACCACAGAATGCTGCAGCCCAGCAGGCTACGGGTCCTCCGCTCTTTATCTCACCTATGCCATTGTACAATGGTGCGCCCGTTTATAACTATATGGGTGGGTACTTGTATCAGCCGGTTATGCCGCCGGCCGAATACCAATATATGCCCGAAGACGGTGGCCAAGGTGTGGATGAACGTCAGGCCCAGGATGGTGGCGCTGCCATGGTGCCACATTTGTGGCATCCATCTCCCGTCTACACCGATGAATATGGCATGAGTACGGCAGAGGTGATGCCACCACATCCCAATGGAGTTGTCAGCGATGAATTGAATCACAATGCCTCTTCGCTGGCCTCATCGGAAACGTCCAGCATGCTCAGTCCCAACTACCCCATGTATGAGGCGCAAATGCATGAAATGCAACAACAAATGGGCGTCATTCAATTGTACGATGATGGACAAATGGCACCACTACAGCCCATGCATCCAGGCACTGGCCCTGTGCCACAGGTAATGTAAAATCTTATTTAAGTGCTTATTCGCCAACTAAACTGTGCTTTGCTTCCTTTTTCTTAAAGTATGAGGATGAGTTGTCTGAGTGCGGAGCCGCATCTGCTGGTGGCATTCCCGTTACATGGACAGCGGCTATGCCCGTAACAGCCGATGTACCGCAGCCTCCGCAGCAGCCCATGCTGCACGCCCCACAGCATCATATCATACAGCCTGTACCACAGGCCATCATTGAGCAACCTTTGTTGCCAACGCCCGTACAGACTAGCACGCAGGCCACAACCGCTGCAGTTCCACCACAACAGCCACAGCAACAACAGCAGCAGCTTTCGTCGCAGGAGCCGTTGGTGCCGGGTGAGTTTAAAACCATTGTTTTGTTCTCCTATTACTTGACAAACATTTTCTTAGTTCTATACACTGTTGTTCCGATAAGCTTGCAGACAATGTAAGGTTATCTGTGATATCTTAATGGACTTTCGATAAGTTGTGCACTTTATTGATAAGCTTTTCAGGTGGCTCACCTGCCTTGCCTGTCGTAAAGTTCTGGCCTTGGTCCAAGAAATAACTTTGCACCTTTAAAGAAATGCCATAGCCATAGATAGGGAGCCCCTCGTATGGGGTTTTTGTTTTTGGGAAGACAAGACAACGGATATAGGAACAAATGATATCTTAGAAATATCTTAGAAAACTATTATCAAACTTTTATAAATTGCAAATCTTTTATACAGTATGGAACTTGTTTGGGCAGACGACCGATATACGAACAAATGATGACCATATTTTAGGTAATCGTGTTAAAGCTCACAACTTCCAAATCTTTTATGTAGTTTTTGTTTTGAATGTAGTTTGGCAAAAATGTTGGGAAATAATTAATTACTAAATTGTCTATTTTCATAAGAACACATTTAAAATGAAATCACTCAGAAAGGTGTTTTTGTCGAAAGTAACATTACAGTCTGAAAACTACCACTGAAATTCGTGCCTGAAATCATTTGGCTGGTTATCCAACTTATGATTGTTCCACGATATATTTGGATTTGAAATATAACCCAATAGTTTCGTGGCTATGGCGCTTGGCATTCGTTTATTGCAGTTTAAAGCAGTCAGTCCGTCAATCAATCTATTAGTCTGCTTGGCATACATATGTATATGTATATATATTTAGTAGTTGGCGATACCGTCACCTGATATCATCGGCATCTCCATCGACGCCTGTTTGTTTTTTACAAGCGTCAACAAATTCAGTTATTGTTTTGTTTTTTGCCCTTTGCCTGTTGCTAAGCGGTAGAAATGGGTGTATGGGGAACACTACCGGCATGATAAATGCCCAGTTCTAATAATTAGTTGTAGAACAAAACCAGAAACAACAACATTATTTTTGGGCTCGTAATTTATGATTCTAACAGGTGTTTAGTGGCTTGGCACGCGCTATTAACATTTTTGTAGTGTGTTGGAGGGCCTTTGTTTCTAACTGTACAAAAAAAAAGAACAATCGACTCGTGCCTCTCGCTCTGTTACTAATCAGCTGATTTTTTTTTTGTATTTGCATTCTTCACGCTTATCAATCGCGCACAAGCAAAACAAACAAGTAAAAAAGCTAAAGTCGGGTGTCCCGACTTCGAAATACTCTGTACATATGTTTACAATAATTATAGAAAATAAAAAAAATTAAGAAAATAAAAAAAAAAATTTGATCGATTTTACCTCTCTCGGTATTCGAACTCACGTAAAGGGTTTATAATTGCACATTTACATAGCAATTGCGTCTGTGTGAGTCTATGTATGCCTATGCGCATCTATTCGTGTCTGTGTAAGCATTTTCGCAGTCAACCAAACAGCAACATCAACAACAGCCGCGGGCAGCGCTTGAGCAGCGCTGCAGCAGCAAATATATTTATGGCTATAACTTCTTGTTAAATCGGTCTATCATAATGAAATTTGGCATACGGACACATAATAACTAACTGGGGGTATTTCCAAAATTTTAGTTAGAAATTCCAAGAATTACGGGAGTTACGATTTGCGGGGTAGAGGGGGGAGGGAGGGGAATTCCAAAATATACATTTTCTGCGTATTCACATAAGGCATCTGGGACTAAAATTTGGTGTTCCTAGGTCTTATAGTCTCCGAGATATAGGCGATTATACGAATGGAAAATCGGGAAAACCCCCATAGGGGGGAAGTGGGGGGGAAAATCAAAAAAATAAAACAAACTCGTATAGAATACACACATAACGCATCTTCGTGCAAAATTTGGTGTCTCTATCTCTTATAGTCTCTGAGATCCAGGTGTTCATACGGACGGACAGACGGACAGACGGACAGACAGACAGACAGGGCTAGATCGACTCGTCTCGTCATGCTGATCAAGAATATATATACTTTGTGGGGTCTGCCACGCCTCCTTCTGCCTGTTACATTTTTCAGCTCCCGCAAACCTAATATACTCTTGTACATTTCATGTACAGAGTATAAAAAGGCGGCCAGTTGGATCTATAGGCATCGGCAATACGTCAAAGTTGTGCTTCATTTGCTTCACTGCCGTCGTCGCCTTTGCATATTTTTTGCTCAAATTGTTGAAGTCAAGTCGGTTGCTCAGTTATTCCGTTGTGTTCGACTTGCTCGATTGGTTAGTTCGCTGGTCATTTGTGTATCGCATGCTTAGTTTAGTTGGTGGGTCCGCCGGTTGCTCGGTCAGTCGGTTGGTTGGTCTTCTTATCACACACACAGCCCATTCAGTCATTGACACTTTTGTCGGTCGCTTATAAGGAATAAAAACAATAGCTGATGATGATGACGATGACGATGATGACTAAGCCCCACTAAGCAATACCCTCTGGTTCCAACCCCCCATTTCTCCATCTTCAGAACCCTTACTGGCTCTAGTTTTTGTGTGCCCTGCTCTGGATTATATACACACACAAATATACATTCATACATATAGTATATGGTTGGCCATTTTCTTTGTTTTTATTGTCTTCCAAGTACTACTTGTGCTCACGACTACGTATGTACTTTGTTTTCACGCTGCATTCAGACGCCAATTGGGTGCATGTCAGATAAAGTATATTGATACCTTTTGTATGTAGCTCGTACACCTCATATTGATATATTCATTTAGGTTGTCACAGTTAGTGCCTTAATATTTACTTACCACCTGATATAGACTGAAGAGATTGATAGCAGCATTGATACTCGTAGAGTAAATTATAAGAGGTTCTGTCTGGGTGATATGCGTATATTTGTGATGTCACAAATGTAAACAAAGAGACATGGGTCTTAGGTTGTATTGAAATTGGAGCAGAAATTGTGTGTTATTTTTGAAGCTCTACATTATTATACTTATTGTCTTATCTAGATGAAAACAAATTTAAAGAACAAATACAATTCTTTAAATATAAGTTTATAAAACTTAAAACTCGCTTTTCCAAGTTCTGATGTATAGTTTAATTTGCCAAAATCGAGTTTCCGAAAAAGTATATTCTCAAATAAACTAGATATAGACACGAAAATGATAAAAATAGATTATATCTAGTATTAATGCAATATTATAAAAAAAAAACTGTAACTGGGAATTCAGTGTAAATATGTTTACATCACATTTAAGTGGAACTGGCCAAATCGGCACTTTTCAAAATCAAAATATCCATTAATTAAAGACCTGAACAGTAAGCTTCACATAAAGCTTTATTGGTAATTACGTTTATTTGAAAATCATTTGTTGAAGAATATCTTTGTTTCCTGAAAAGCTCTGGATATCAGTTTTGCTATAAATACCTTTGATTCCATAATCTGATATTCTATCACGTTTACTTTGTGTTGATAGCAATCTCTCTTCCTCCTCAGAGCATATGGGTTATGTAGTACCTGGATTTGGGTGCTTTGTTGCTCGCCTTCGATCGGGTTAATCTTAACTTGTTGCCGAATGTTTTATGGTTTGATTTGATTGTATTGCTCGTACGACGACGGCCGGCTGGCCTGTTAGCCCTCTTGGCCCCCAACTGCCTGATAAGCACGAGCCAACACTAATCTTTAGCATTTACCTGCACTTTTATTGATCGCTTTTTGAGCCCCCATCCGGCCAAGCCTTTCAATGGGTTGTGTAACACCCCAAAAAAATATAAAAATAATAAGAAAATAAGAAGTCGGTTCGTTTGGAATTTTTAAATGTATGGCAAAAGTGGTTTATTTTTATAACATTTATTGTTCGGCTTTTGAAATTATTTTATTGCATTGCTTGGCTCTTTTCACGCTTTCTCAAAATCTCTTGCATATAGTATGTATATAACAGATTTTTTAAAACTCTCTTTAGCATTGGGCTAGATTAAGGGGTATGTACGGTGTGTGTGTGTGTGTTTGTAAATAGGTGATACACTGCAATTATTGCTTTAATTGTTAGTTAATTGTATTTGGTTTTGTTTTTCATAAAACATGTATAACACATAAATAGTTTTCGTGTATAACAAAAACGCACAAGCCTTGAAAATTTGTAGGTTTTAATTTGTTGGCGGCTCTTATTTTCTTTCTTTTTTCGGATAAGTTCAGCGATTTCCGTTGGACAGTATGGACAAAACTTGAAGTGTTAGGTTTGGTTTCCCATTTGTTGTTGTTGTTTTTAATTTTTGTATAATTAACGTACAAAAAATTAATGATAAAATTTGTTGCTGCTGTTAAATTAGCTTTAAAATTGAAAAATAGTTTGAGTTTCTTGTTGATTTTTTCTTTAGTTTTTCTTTCTTTCTTTTTTTTTAATATAAAACTTTATTAGTATAATTTTGTAATAGTTGTTGTATGCATTATTCATTGTTTATTCATACATCATCCTACTCTATAAAATGTTTAAGTTTCACATGCCACTAACTTTCTGTTTCCATTTGAGTTTGTTTTTTTTTATTAATATATTTTACATACGTACATAACTAACTACTAAACAATTTTGGGCGTTTTACATTTCTAAGACTCTTTAAATCATTTCCTAACACTGCTACAACTTCGTGTATTACTTTCTCACACTTCCTTCTTGCCGTATGACACAATTATGCTTCTGTAACACCTGCAACAGAACAACAACAATTCTACATTTATTAATTACATACATACATAAAATACATATATATAGCACGCGTAAAACTAATAAAAATTATAGAAATAAAATTTAACAATGAAATACAAATGAAAATTATTATACAATATGCACTTTGAAATATTGTTGTTGTTGCTGCTGTTCTAGTTGTTTTTGTTGTGGAGGTTGTCTCGAAACTAACAATCAGTTTTATTAGCATTATAATTGTAGTATTCTCCACACTATAATCTTAACGTAGGTTCTTCACTCTGCCGCCTTTTAAAATTTTTAAGCTAGAGTGTCGCAATTTGCTTGTGTTGGCTAAAAAAGCAAATATATATAATATATAGTATAGTAGGTACAGTATATATGTGTATAATATATATATATATATATAAGCTTGTATATAGTATTCATTTGTGTGTGCTTGACCAAGTTCTCTTGAGCGACGACCCAACTTCGATTCGTTTCTGACCCCGTCTTTTTGTATAAGTTTCATAAAAAAATATCGCTCTTCAATTTTTGTGACTTCGCTTTAATTTTTTTTTGTTTTTCGATTTTGGTTTTTATTTTTGTTTCAACAAATGATGAGTTCTGAACTCACCCCTCAACAAAGCCCCTCAGACATTGATCTTCCCCCCGTGACCCGAAATACTTTGTAAATTCTGCTTAGAGCTTCGATTCCGTTTGTTTTTCATCGCCACCGCCTCTGCCGCCGCCACCTTCCGCCGACTTGGCCGCCTCCGCAGCCTTTTGTGAGGCAAACAACGGCTGCGGCTCCTCCATTTGAGGACTGGCCAGTGTTTTGATAATCTTGGGCACAATGGTAATGGGCTGATCCTCATCATCTTCAATATCCTCACCCTGCTCCTCGTCGATGGGCGTCAGCGTCTCCATATGCACGGGCGTCTCCTCCGAACCGCTGCAGCGTTTCAAACAGGGTGCCATAAAGCTAGTTATGGTGGAGATTGCGAATAGAGCGCCAGCCATATAGAAGGGCAGATCATAAGTATGCGTTAGATCGTAAATGGCACCCGCCAGTGGGGTGCCCAGCAAGGCAGCAAATCCTCTGAACAAAATTAGCAATCCAAAGGCATTCGTTAGCTTATCCAAGCCGAGCAAGTCGACGAGTATAATTGACGTTAGTGAAATATATCCCGAAATAGCAATGCCAAAGAAGACAGCCATCGTTATGTAGGCGCCATAGGAGTAACACAGAGGCGTTAGCGTCACCGCCACTGTCGAGATGAGCAGGCAAATGTTGTTGAGCAGCAGAGAGTTGACTTGTGGGAGATCGGCAACCCAACCACAGAAAACACGACCCACAGTATTTGTGATGCCAATGATAGATAGCAGCATGGCCGCATCGTTCTTCGCTATGCCGTGCTCCTTGGCGGCATCCACGAGGTAGACGAAGGGTACATAGAGACCGGCCATGCCAAAAATGTTAGAGACGCCAATAAGCATGAAGACAGGATCGCGTAGCAGGCTCACATCGAGCATAGTATTGACGACAGACTTGACCGAATCGGGGATGCAAATGCATGGACACAGATCGTACTCCTCACGGTGTTTCTCCGCCTCCGCTAGTGGGTCCAGAGCTCTAACACTCTGCATGCTCTTCTCGTACTTGGTCAGCGAGAGAACGGAGTTTCGGTAATTGGTGAGCGATTTTTGCGACTGATATTGGGGCAGATTGGTCACGGAGCCGGAATAGAAGATATCTTTGCGGGACATGGGCCGCACCATACGACCACTGCCGCTGCTGCCTTGACGTTGGGAGAGGGATAGCTTGGAGGTTGTGTAGTCAGCACCGCCAGCTTCCAGATCGCCGCGTGAGGACGCCCTGATGGCCGCCAGTGCAGGCTGGTAGCGCTCGCTGGCTGAAGTTTTGCGCACACGGCTGAACGAAGGCACTGAACCGTTCTTTGGAAGACTGTGATGATCTCCAGCCATGAAAGCTGGCTGTGAGGCATTGCGTGTCATCGCATCCTTGGACGTGTAAGGGCTGTTGTCCGACTCGGAGCTGCGATGCGAACGTCTGCCAGCGGGACGCACATCCAATTGTCCATTGCTGTTGTTTGACGGACTCTGTGTGCCGCCATTCGAGGCGGCATTATGATGCGCTTCTACCACCTTGGATTCGGTAATTGTGGGCAATGTAGATACAGGATGCAGTCCACCCGATTGCTGCGCCAGCAGCTCCAAATTCAGACTTGAGTGCACCCCCGGATCAGCATTTAGGGGTAATTTCAACTTACGCTCCATGGTGCCGTCTGGCAACTGAACCATAAAGTGCGAGCCGGCAAAGGAGCCCCGTTCCAGCTGCAACTGTTTCTCTTCATACATGCGCTGCATCAGGGGCTTCACGCGCTTCTTTTTCGGGTATGTGAGGGGACGCATCATGGCGCCGAAAATGGCGCAATTTAGAATGAGACCCGCAAAGATGAGCAATGCATTTTTCCAGCCGTATTCCTCTAGCAAATACGTGGCCAGTGGCGCAAAGGTGAAGGTGCCAAAGCCCGAACCACACACAGCAATGCCCGTGGCCAGCGATCGCTTTGTCTCAAAATAATAGCCCACAGCCACAACAGCCGGTAGATATATCATGCCAAATCCAAAGCCTCCCATAAATCCATAGGTCGCCATTAGCATGCTCACCGAGGTACTGAATGTGCTCAGGACAAAGGCAATGCAGGCAATTATGCTGCCGGCGATACAAACACTCCGACATCCATATTTATTCGCCAGTGCCGAAACAATGGGTCCAGCACTTAAATACACGCCACTCAGCAGGCTTCCAACCCAGGCGACTGTGCCTTTGCCTTCGTTGAAATAGCGGACGAATTCCTCCAGGAATATGCCAAATGTGTAGGCAATGCCATCGACAATCATGTTGCACATGAAGGAGGCAAAGCAAATGACCCAACCATAGCCACCATCCGGCGGGGGCGGCAGCTCACCATAATCGCTAACATCATCCTCGCCATCTTCTCCATCGTCGTCGTCGTCTGGACTGTTGCTTTCATTTTGTTCGGCAGTTAGACGTGCGGCTTCCTCGCAGGCTAAATCACTATCGGTTCGATCGAATTTACGGAGGCGTGCATTGGAGCCAGTGTTGGCCACTGCTCCACTATTTATATCGACCATAATAACGAGAGCGGGTGAATGTGTGTATGAGTGCGTTTATGTGTGTGAAAGCTTACAATTTAAAATTACGGTTAATGCACGCCGTTGACACTCTTCGTTCTTTGTATTTAATTTGCTTGCTGTTTTTAATGAGCATGGAATGTGCAGCAGCGGCACGGTTCAAGCACTTGCCGTTAGTTTTGCTAACACTTTTGTTTTTATTGAAGTTCTAATTTTGCGTTAAATTTTTATGCGTTATGGACGTTGTTTGGAGCGCGCCCGCGCGACTTTTTTTTATGCAGTCGTCAACGTTTTGATATGCGTGCGGCGAGTGTTTCGTGCCGTCCAGTTATTAAGCCTAGAATAACTATTTTACACTTGTCTTGGTTGTAGGCAGCGCAGCTGCCACTGGCGCCGCTGCGGCTTTTTCTCACTGTGTGTGGTGTTTTGGCTATACTCTCTTATTTTATCTGTGTGTGAACTACACACTCATACACACGCGCTCTCACTAACCAAATGTACGCTCTCTCGTGCTCACGCTCGCAATCGCTTCACTCCCACTCTTTCTCATCAGTAAATGTGGCGTTTTCTGCTGCTGCTGCTGCTACCGTCGTTGTATTTGCCGTTATCTGTGTGAGCGCCGACTGTCAGTGCCCGTGTGTGTATTTTGTTTTTATTATTAATTGTTTTTGACTTTGTTTGATAATTTAATTTTTTGTTTTTGTTGTATAAGTTACTCACAATTTTATATTTGTTGCAATTAAAACGGTTTTTTGTTGCGAATTTAAAAGACAAATATTTTACATAAGGTACATTGTTTATCAAATTTTTATAACATTAACAAGAACAAAATTATTGGCTGCCAAAAAGTCACGTTTTGTTGTACTTTTTCTGCTTTTCTTCTTATTTTGTTATTATTATTTTAATTTGTTCTCGAGATTTTGTTTTGTGCTTTTTTGTTTGTTTGTTGTCTAAAGAGTTTTGTTTATATTTTTAAATTGCAGTGCAGTTGGCGGCGGCAGCGGCAGAGACATCGACGTCGGCAATGCAATTTTGTTATTGTTGTTTTTGGCCGCCAAAGCTAATGCTTTGTTGCTTTTGGCTTTCAGAACAGCGGCACAATACAGGAAACTACTGTATTTTATTCTATACCCATCGCTTTTCCGATTTTTGTCGTTTCGATTTTACTTTCGTATTTTTCAACAACAAAAATTGTATTGCCTTGCTTTAATGGCACATTTCTTTGCGACGCTGGCTGTGACGTTAACGTCGGCGGCTACGGCTGGTGCTGCTTTTTGGGGGTGCTGTACGTGACGATGCAATTGTATAATTTTGGTTGAGCATTCAAGTTTTCAATTGTTCGTTGAAAATTAAAAATTCCTGCATAAATAATTAAAGAACTGGCTGCACCGCACCATCAGCATAAAAATCGCAGTCGTTGTTGTTGCTGGTTCGGCTGCCCACGACGGCGACGTTAACGTGTGATCGATAAATGTGAACAACGGCGGCCGCGGCAATAACAACAAAGCGGGCACACACACATACACTAGTGTATTTGTGAATATGTGTGAGAGTTGGGCAGCAGCCTTTAACACAACTACGTCAATGTGGATTCAACAGCGTAAAATTGCATTTTTAGCAAAATTCAATTCAAAATTTATTTTCTTCAATATTTGTATTATTTTTGAAAAATTTGTTCTTTGTGCTTTTTTCCTAGACGACGTTGGCGTTGACGAGAACACGCGTATAGATATTTAAAACGCTCGTCACTGCTGCGCTGTTCGCTTTGCAATGAAAATTCGTTGTAACCAACAAACGCCATACAGCTCTAAATGGCTGGCTGCCTGAGCTTGTTGGCAGGCAGGCAATGCGCAAAACTGTTATACGAGATATACAAAAACATTAGCGGCAGGCAAGGCAGACACTCAAATTGTGAATTGAAAAAAAAAGACAACAAGAGAGAATGTTACGAGTCGAGCAAGCCTGACTCTTGTACACCCTGTAACCGCCCCCTTTATCACATACTCGTTTAATTTAACAGGGTGTTAAAAAGAGGGAAATAAAAAAGTTAAATAAGCTCGCCCAAGTTTGCTCAGCCGCTTCCGATACATAATGCATTCATCCAGACATATTTAATTTGGCACACTGATAAAGAATATTCATACACATATACTGTGTGTGGTCTGCAACGCCTCCTTTTGGTTGTTACTAAAAGTGACTAATTTAATAGTACCCTTTAGATACAGGGTATAAAAAAGGCAAATGCAAATGTCGCCGCAGCCAGTAAAGAGCGTATTTCTGTCCAATACATATGTATGTTTGTGTGTGTGAGAGCACATCTTGTCTATTTTGGCGCAGCAACAAAGTCAATAGCTACAACAACGAATGCATTTCATAAAGTTCAAGCGCACACGCGCAATTAAGCTTCAGTGTCTCACTCTCTCAGTCTCTCCCATTCTCTCTTGGCCACCTGGCGCTCTGTTTTATTGCAAGCTCTCAAGGGTTGCGTCGTCATTGTAGTAGTAGTACTGTGTAGAAAAAAACAGCTGATGTGCACATTTTATGCAAACACGAGGAAAGCAGTAAAGGAATATACAGTTGCGTTTCGGCGCGCCAGATTTCAGGTTTGGCTGCTTTGTTGTCCTCGCACAGATAGATACAACAACAAAACTCACAACCCCAGAAAGAAGCTTGTTAAGTTTGTCAAACAACTACCCTCTTGTGCTCTTGTCGATGTCTTAATAATGACGCACATTTTTCCTTCATTGGAGTCAGTGGTGGTGAGACTCGATTTATTTTTGTTGTAATATATTTATGGACGGACATAGAACCGGCAGCAGAAGTGTGTCGAGACTTTATAACAGTTTTATATGTATATACATACATATTGTATATGTACATTTGTACATTGAATCGCAGTCACATGTTTGGTAATTGAGCAGCATATTGCCAAAGAGAGAGAACTGTTGCTCTTAGTTGTTTTGTGATTTGGGTTAAAGGTTAAGCGCCAACAGTTTTCACTTAACTTTTACTTTTGCTTTCTGCACTGCATATGTGTGTGTGTTTGTTTGAATGTGTACGTGTTGAAATTTTTGTGGCGTCTTTTAGGCGCCGGGCTGGCAAAACTCCTGCCTTTTCACTTTCCATTTAGATTTAGATTTTTTACTTTAGTCAGACATTTAGAAGTTATATCAGTATGAAGAAACAGTCGATAATGGAAAACTCCTCACCTAATGATTCATCGAAAAAACTTTATTAAAAAAGTAATTAAAACAACAAATGGCAATATTCAAATGAACATTTTGACCAGAAAAACTTCATCAGTCTTAGAACTGCATTTTTTCTTGAGGCGTGCTGACCGAATGATATATTTTCCTTCACATATATTTTTGCATGTTCAATGTTTGAATGTTTATTATTAACGCCTGCAAAATAAAGTAAAATAACAAAAATGTCGGCCAGAAAATTTTTATTTTAAAAGTCTATTATTTTTGTCCCTCCAGTGTTTGTTCTTGTTCGTTTAATAAGTAGCCCTTACGCCTAATCTTATCGTATTATTTGAACGATTTTCAACCAACAATTGAATTGTGCTATAACGAGTGTCCAATAAATTTAATATGACAGGTAAAGTGAAGTAGAAATGGTATAATGTACAAATCTTGGCAGTTGCCAGGTGCCCTTTCTCACGTTTCAATTTCAGCAATCCGCAGAAGCAGTGCCCTTTATAACAGTTTTTGGCACATGTTTTTCTTTGCTCTATGAGTTTACCCTGCTGCGTTTGTATTTGTGTTTGTCAAAGAATTTCCGCAGATTTCCTTGCTTTACTTATGCTCGAATAACCTTAGAAAACATGTGACTCGAGAGCGTTAAGAGAGCTTTTTTTTAGTGTGCTCTCTCACATGCGCTCTCTCACTCTTTCCCTCTCTCTCTCTATTTGGTTGAATTGGCCAGCTTGCTTATTTGTTGGTCAATGTCATTCATAAAAATTCTATGCCGCACACGCATCACACATACAACAGCACAACACAACAAAAATGCAATTACAAGCACCCAGCACACTACTTGTCTCTCTCCCAGCGTGTAGTTTCCACACTATTATGTATATTGGCTGCGACGGTTAGAGGCTGGCTTCTGGTGTTTAGTGTGTGTGCCTTTGACGTTTGTTTTCTCCTCTATTCAAGTTGATTGAAGCCTGTGTCATTAGCGCATTAGTCGCAGATGGGAACGTTTTAGCACAGAATTGGCCAGGAAATTACTGTTTTGCTTAGCCATAAAAATGTGCATATTCACATTCCTATATACATATCTTTTACAAATGTAATGCATATGTTTTCTGAAAGCGAAATTTAATATGCGCCCATTTATGTACTTGCGTTGTTATTGCGCTTATGTAGCGTTCCATACAAAACTGTTATACCGCAACTTGTTCATTATAAATGTATAAAGCTTGAAGTGAAATTCAAACCAGGCAGCCAACAGTGCGCAGCAGGGCGGAAGGGCAGGGAGACAGAAGAAGGGCGCAGGCACAGTACACGTGGCGTGTTAAAGTACAATCGCAGTGACCTCCGAAGCACACTGCTTTGAGACCATTAAAAGGGCCGCAGAAAAGAGGAACCAAATTTATAAATATTGAATGATAAAAAATATTTTAAAAAAATTTTCAATTCATATTTAGCTTAAAAATTAGTTAACAAAAAGTATAAATTTTGTTTCAACATACTTGTACATACTTCAAGCTCAGACTTTTATTTATTTTTTTGATGACAGTGTTAAAAAAACAAGAAAATCTAAAATATCAAAGAATTCAAGAGTGTGAAAAACACTCAAAATTTAATGGTTTCCTGAAATGAATACTAGATTTTAGTTTTCCAAACACATTTTATACATTCAAATTTTGTTTAATTCAAATTAATTTTATTTGAAACAGTTAATACCAATATGTTCAATACATTTTATATTTTAAATGTAGGAATAAATAATTATTTAAATTCTTTTTTATTATTCGTACTAAGAGTTGGACATATGTATGTAGCTTGGTTAAATCGATAAATATAGTAGATGAAGTACTGAGATTTTTCACAAACTTTTCCTGATTTTGAACCAATGTGTAGTGGTAGTTGTTGCAACGCCTACACGCAAGCTGCATTCGAATGTGCGGGTATGTGCGTTTGTTAACTGTTGTTAGTTTTACAAATTAGCTGCATCGTTTACCAATTTTGGCCATGCATTTGTTAATAGCACGCGCCAGCTGCACGAGACTGGCTTTTGGCCAATTTAGACGGTTGACAATCAATGAGGATATGGCCATATAATAGCTCATACTGTAGGTCAAACGGACATATTGCCCTTCGAAGAGGCTTCAATAATATTTTAACAATGGTCGAGTGATGCCTCCGATCTCACGTTTTTTCTTTGTCATGAGCGTTGTCTATAATGAAATTGAAATTGCACATACGACGTGGTGTTCGGCAGTGGCCAAGTAGCGGGCATTGCGCCTTCTTTATGTGACTATATATAAATGTACATATATATGCGTATGTATATCGTGAGAACAACGAGAGGGCAAATGAAAACAGAAAATACAATAAGTTATACATTTTGCTTTAAATTTTTAACACACAGTTTTTCCTTGTGTTTTTGACGATGAGTATTCTTCTGTTTTTTCATATACTACTTACCTACTATGTAAAGTGTATCCCCATTAAAAATAACTGAGATTGAACGAAAGTGATCTAATGGTACAACAGACGTAATCTTTAATTTTGTGTTCGGTACAATATTGGTCAACATCTGTGGCTTAGTTGGTCCGTTTTTACATTTCTCCGTGTCCGTTTTCCACATAACTTTCCCATTGCGATTCTTGTTTACTCAATA